TCAAACAAAGTTTAATTTTGGACCCTTTTGACCTCAATGTGGACAAGTTGATAACGGGGCCCAAAAATCAAAAATCTAAATACATGGTTAGATTCAGCATATCAAAGAACCCCATATATTCAATTTTTGTTGAAATCAAACAAAGTTTAATTTTGGACCCCGATTTGGACCAACTTGAAAACTGGGCCCATAATCAAAAATCTAAATACATGTTTAGATTCAGCATATCAAAGTACCCTAAAAATTCAATTTTTGTTAAAATCAAACTAAGTTTAATTTTGGACCCTTTTGACCTTAATGTAGACCAATTTGAAAACGGAACCAAAAATTAAGAATCTAAATACACGGTTAGATTCGGCATATCAAAGAACGCCAATAATTCAATTTTTGATGAAATCAAACAAAGTTAAATTTTGGACCCTTTTGACCTCAATGTGGACCAATTTAAAAAACGGGGCCCAAAATCCAAAAACTTAATACACGGTTAGATTCAGCATATTAAAGAACCCCAAGAATTCAAGAATAAAACCCCATTGAAATTCATCAAGAAATAAGCAATTTATACGAAGTATCTTCTTTTGCACAATACTGTGCAATTGAATATTTCTTGCTATTGTGCAATACTGTACAATTGACAATTTCTTGCTATTGCGCAATATTGTGCTATTGGATATTTCTTGCTATTGCGCAATACTGTGCAATTGAAGATTTCTTGCTATTGCGCAATACTGTGCAATTGAAGATTTCTTGCAATTGTGCAATACTGTGCAATTGAAAATTTCTTGCTATTGCACAATACTTATTATATAATAATTTACACATCCTGTTTGGTGTGTATCTCCTACCATATCATTATTATTTGCTTTTAAATATTAATCAGAAATAACCAACTTACAATGGAAAATTTTAAAAGAAAAAAAAAAGGAAAAAAAGAAAAAAAAAGAAAAAAAAAAATCCCCCCCCCCCCAAATTTTTTGAACCCCCTTATGATTCATCACCCCCAAACTCAATCCCAGCCTTCCCTTTGTGGTATGGTACCTTGCAGTACAATTTCAGAGAGATCCATACACTTGAACACAAGTTATTGTCTGGAAACTAGAAAAATGCTTATTTTTGGCCCCTTTTTGGCCCCCAATTCCTAAACGTTTCGGGCAATTACCCCCAAACTCAATTCCAGCTTTCCCTTTGTGATATGGAACCTTGTAGTACAATTTCAGAAATATCCAAACACTTACACACAAGTTATTGTCATGAAACTAGAAACATGCTTGTTTTTTGCCCCTTTTTTGGCCCCTAATTCCTAAAATTTTGAGGCAATTACCCCCAAAATCAATCCCAGCATTCCCTTTGTGATATGGAACCTTGTGGTACAATGTCAGAGAGATCCATACACTAACACACAAGTTATGTCTGGAAGTTACAAAAATGCTTATTTTTGGCCCCTAATTCCTTAACTGTTGGTACCATAACCCCCAAAATCAATCCCCACCTTCCTTTCGTGGTATTGAACCTTATGGTAAAATTTCATGGAGATTCATTCACTTAAACTAAAGTTAGAGTGCGAAAACCAATGTGTCTTCGGACGACGCCGGACGACGCCAGACGACGACGACGACGACGACGACGACAACGACGACGACGACGACGACGACGCCAACGTCATACCAATATACGACCAAAAAATTTTTAATTTTTGCGGTCGTATAAAAAGGAAAAAAATCTGCCCCCCCCAATTTTTTTAACCCCCTTATGATTCATCACCCCCAAACTCAATCCCAGCCTTCCCTTTGTGGTATGGTATCTTGCAGTACAATTTCAGAGAGATCCATACACTTGAACACAAGTTATTGTCTGGAAACTAGAAAAATGCTTATTTTTGGCCCCTTGTTCCTAAACGTTTTGGGCAATTACCCCAAAACTCAATTCCAGCTTTCCCTTTGTGATATGGAACCTTGCAGTACAATTTCATAAAAATCCATACACTTACTGTTACACATAAGTTTTTGTCATGAAACTAGAAAAATGCTTGTTTTTTGCCCCTAATTCCTAAAATTTTGAGGCAATTACCCCCAAAATCAATCCCAGCATTCCCTTTGTGATATGGAACCTTGCGGTACAATGTCAGAGAGATCCATACACTAACACACAAGTTATGTCTGGAAGTTACAAAAATGCTTATTTTTGGCCCCTAATTCCTTAACTGTTGGTACCATAACCCCCAAAATCAATCCCGAACTTCCTTTAGTGGTATTGAACCTTATGGTAAAATTTCATAGAGATCCATTCACTTAAACTAAAGTTAGAGTGCGAAAACCAATGTGTCTTCGGACGACGACGACGCCAACGTCATACCAATATACAACCGCAAAAAATTTTGCAGTTGTATAATTGTGGTACGGAACCTTCGGGATCCATACACGTATACTCAATTTATTGTCTGGAAACCAAGTGTCTTTGGACGGCAACAACAGCAAATAGACTGACAATGACAATGTTCTGCTGGGTGGATTTCACTTTCTGGAAATTTGTAGATCAGAAAAAGGGCTGGACAAAACAAGTTGAACTGCCAGCTATTGTGCACAAATGATGCCCCTGCTCTAAGTATATGTTAATAAGGAAATTGATTAGCAAAGAATGTGAAAACACAATAGTTTAGCTTGATCACATGAAGCTTGATTCCAAATTTCAGAAAGGATTTTTAGTTTTTGAGAAAACTTATGAAAATTTTATGCATTGCCTTTATGTGTAAGAATATACAAGTATGTTTTGAACAGGAAGTTGTTTAGTGAAGAATCTGAAAATGCATCACATGGTATATCCTGCTGACAGGAAGCTTGATACCTAAGTTCATGTAGCTTTGATTTGTTATTCATAAGGAAAGTGCTACAAAAGCTTCATGGGCCAGACGAAAGATTGTTAACCAGTACACACCCCTCCGTCAGACGGGGTATAAACATTCCATTAACTTTACCTCACCTTTTATCATTTAATCAGCTGGGTATATATGGATAATGATAAGTCCAAATAGTGAGAGGGATATTCTGCACATCTACACAAAATATTGAACTAATCCTGAAAAAATGTCCATTTTGGAAACACTTTCCAACCTACCTAAATAAGTATGAGTATGTGTTATAAACCATTCTAAGCACATATAAAAAGAAACAAGCATTCTGAGAGTATTGCATGTACATAGTCCCCTACCATTTTACTTGAACAAAATGCTAACTTGTTCTATAACTTGTCATGGTGTAAACAAAAAGTAAATATCATGTCAATATCTTGCATGACTAAAAACAGTGTGGAAAACTGATTATACGAGTGAAATAAACATTAGATATGATTAATAGTTCTCTAAAAATTAGATATGATGTAATACAGTGTATATCTATTTTAAAATTATAATTAAATATAATTAATAGTTCCAAATATTTTTTTCTTTCATTTGTCACAAACTAATATAGATTTGTAACTTATCTATAAAATGTCAACAACTTTTATCTACACAATGTAATGTATTGAAATATATACATTAATAAAAATAGATTATTATCTAATTAAAGGATTTCTCTTCATAATTTTTTTTTTATATCTATAGCATTCAGAAAATTAGTTTATACTAAATAACAAACAAACCTTCAAGTTATATCTACTTATTTCAAGGAAGATAACAATAATCATATTTTTTGGATGCTATGTTTTCCCGAAGTACCCGTTATTAAATTTTAAATGATTTGTAACAATGAAGAAACAATTGTTATAAAGAGAAATAACACATCTCAAATCGAAACATGATTGCTTATCTTCTCGAGACCAATCAGAAATATAAGAATATAAACTGTTGACAGAGAACTGTCTTGCCTATCGGCATATAATTCAGAAAAAGACAACCTGATGGACAGCAACATTGCTTATTAATTCAGTCACTGGACCATGATCTAGAAAATGGTCAACAAACTGAGATGTACAGACAGTAATGTAACTTTATAGAAAATATCGTTGTTTATTGTAAGTAGTTCCTATCAATATAACTTGAGCAGAAAAACTTGACATTGAAAATTTATCATGAATTCACTGAACCATAAACTAGGGGGCAGGGCCTCGAAATGGTCATCGAACTGATAGTAATGCAACTTCATAGCAGAAAACTTAACATTGAAAATTGCTAATGAATTCAAAGTCACCAGACCATGTCCTAGGGGGCAGGGCCTCAAAATAGTCGTCAAACTGATATGTACTGATAGTAATGCAACTTCATACAAAATATCATTGATCTATCAAAAGTAGATCCTATCAAACTAACTTAAGCAGAAAACTTAACATTGAAAATTGCTAATTAATTCAAAGTCACTGGACCATGGTCTAGGTGGCAGCGCCTAAAACTGATAGTAATACAACTTTATATCAAATATCAATGATCTATCACAAGTAGTTTCTATCTAACTTTAGCAGAAAACTTAACAAAAAAAATGTCTGGACTTTTACAAGTGCTTACCCAGAAGTGTGTGCAGGGAGGCAGGAAACAGAACTATATTTTTTCAGGGCCTAAATATTTAAAGAAATTACATTTGTATATCAGATCAAGAAAATTAAAAAAGAAGGAATTGACTTGCACATTTGGATAGGTAAAAAAATATAGACACTCACTGTAAGATAAGAAAATTAAAATGACAAGTGTTTGAGATGTAATTTTAAGTGTAACTTTATAAAGTTTCTAACAAGTTTAAAGGCTTCAGAAGCAGTGATTTCAAATTATTTGATACAGTCCAATGCATTGCTAGTAAATCATTTATTTCCAAGTTTAAAATGAAATAGAGAATGGAAACGGGAAATGTGTCCAAGAAACACCAAAGAGCAGAAAACAGTATATCTATACATCCTTAATAATAACATCTGGTTATAAATCAGTGACACTACTTTTATAAATACAATTCACTAAAATTATGAAGTGAGTTTTCTTTTCAAATCAATTAATTTCAATACATAAGAATAACATGTAATTATTTACAATTTATTTTATTTCTGTATCATGTTTGTACAAAGTTTAGGAATTAGCATTAGGTCCCTTCCTTCGTCCAAATGTGGATACAACAACACCAAATCTTCTGTTGTATTGCTGACGTCTCTTGGCACGGCCAGTCTTCTTCTTCTTGGCCTCTTGCTTTTCAACCTACATAACCAAACAATGAATGTAGATTTTTTTAATTGAAATATAAGAATGTTTCCATGGACTACTCCTGCTAACATACAAGATTTAACATGCTTACCTATTTGCAAAATGGATTCTAGAACCAGGAATTTTTGAATTGCAAAAAAAAAAGGTCCAAATTTAAATTTTTGAATTATATCTCCTCAAATGGTGTTTTACTATGCATGCTTCAAAGGTTTCTCTAAATTAATATCTGAAATACTTGGTGAAATATACTTTAAGCCTTAATAAGTTTTAAAGGGAGATAATATCAATATTTCAAAAGATCAAATGATTTTAGATGATCTCCCATGGAAACTTATGAACAACATAATGTAATTTCACATCTATTTTACTGAATATAACATGTTTTAAATCAAACTGATGTCTGATTCTTATGAATATAGTAAATTTATTATAAAAATAGTATGAAAGCTTAATTTGGACATTTTTATATAAATTCAAAACCTCTCACCTTTCAATTGACTCTTTAAAATAATATGTATAGAAATGTTTAGCAAAGCAATGTAATGGAATTAAGTCTTATAGGATTGAAGGTATGTTTTATTTTAACACTTTGCACTATGGTCACTTGTCAGACTAGTTTTCAACAGCAGTTGGTTAAAAATCCTTACCATCTGAATGGTTTAGTGCAGTAGCTACGTGGAGAACAACACTTACAGCCAAGTCAGAGTAACATAAGTACATTGTACATCTGGTTCTAAACTTTTATCACAATATCATAAACATAACCACCAGCTTAAATTACATTTAAAATATCCTAGGATTAATTATAAATTCTACGATTGTATATCTATGATACAAGTTAACGCTACGATTACATTGAAGGTAACATTATGCATACACCAATAAGTATCGATGGAGGAAGGGCATGTCATCATAAACATAACTTAATTTATATTTAAATTAGGATTCTTTATTATAATAACAGATAGTTGAAATACCCATGCCAAAACACAGCTCGTTTTTTAATATTTATTTGTCAAATTTGGTCTCTTGTAAAGAGTTGTCTCGATCATTGCCAATCATACCACATCTTCTTTTTTTATATTTAAAGCTTCTTACTGACTCATATAAAACATGAAATAGACATGGATCGATTCACTTCCGCCCACTCGTATACCCGTGGACACGCGTGGACAACGTGGGCACGTGGACAGAGAGTGCCCACGCCCATGGTGGGCACGTGGAAATAGCAAAATCCACGTGAGCTGTAGTGTATGTATTCATAACAAGAGGCTGTCATGTCAGAGTGACAGCAAACCGGTTTTCTTGCAGAAGTTGAACCCTGAACAGTTGCATAAGTATGGACACAGCATTTAAGCGTAAAACAGCCCTGAATTTGGATTGTGACTGAATATTTGACACAAAAGAGGTTTGTGACACAAAATGAATGTGGTCAAAGAACTGAAAAATTTGAAATTAGACATTTACCTATTATGGTCCAATATCCAAAATCTAAGTACATTGTTAGAATCAGCATATCAAAGAACCAAAGAATTCAATTTTTGATGAACTCAAACAAAAGTTTAATTTAGGACCCTTTGGACCTCAATGTGGTATTATTTTATTAATAATGAAAATAAATACAGGTTTAGATTCAGCATTTCAAAGAACCCTATATATATATTCAATTTATGTTGAAATCAAACACAGTTTAATTTTGGACCCCAATTTGGACCAACTTGAAAACTCGGCCCAAAATCAGAAATCTAAATATATGTTTATTAATAGACAATATAAGCTTAGTTTTTAAAGGAGTTTCCTTGATAAAAAAAAATATATATATATATAGCATTCAGAAAATTAGTTTATACAGAATAACAATGTAATGAAATATATCCTTAAATAAAAATAGATTATTATCTAATGTAAATGATATTTGCAATCAGGATCAAGTAAAAAATATATACTTATTAATTAATTACATATCTGTTCAAAGGGAAATACCTCAAAATAAACAAGAGACCAAATGACATAGAAATTACATTTCTGTTCAAAGGGAAATAACTCAAAATCATATAATAAGTTTCCCTTTTGGCTATTGAAAGGTCTACAACTCAACAACGAGAAAAGCTAAAATCTGAACTTCATCTTCATTTAGTCACAGGAAACAACATATCTAAATTTGAAAAGATTTGTCAAAGCGTTTTCATGTTAATGAACGGACACTGTTTGGCAGCCATCCGCCTGTCGTACATCCCCAAATCAATAACCAATTTTTCTTTCGAAAATCTGGTTAAAATTGTAATTTAGCTATTACTTATGTTTTATGGAGTCTGATTCTCAAGTAGTTCAATATTGTTTGATAAGATTTTAAACATGTTACACCAATTACAATTATGATTAATGTTTGTATCTACAGATCCAAAAAGTGGTAACACATTACAACTCATCCCTGTCAAGCTGCTGACCAAATACGAAATAATTCTGTTCAGTAATTCCTGATATTAAGTGCAACAAAAATATTTTTGGACAAATGGACAGCATGATTTTTTTATTAATTGTTAGAGGCTTTGAACTAGCTGTCCGCAACTGTGAGTACTCTCAGATCTACACTTAGTGTCTTTTTGTTGTTTCAGGGTTTGACACTAACTAAATGTATGTACTAGCCTGCAGGGCTAGTGAAATTATTTTCTACTAGTCCTCTTGTCAATTTACTAGTCCTCCTAGTGCTGAAGGCACTTGGACGGTCGTGCCACAGGCACAACCCTATCTAGGAGGGTCTGGGGGCATGCCCCCCAGAAAATTTTGATACAAATGAAGCTAAATCCTGTGTTCTGGAGCATTTCCAGAGGGCTTTGAACACGTTTTGTTACATGAAATTTCACTGGTTTGCTAATAAAAAATACAAAAAAAAAAAAAAAAATCATATTTTTATCATCTATATTAAGAATGTGTTCGAATTATTTTGAAGACCCCTTTCGATCATTACATCATCATCCTCATTTTACTTATCATTATTACTAGTGTCTTCAATGAAGATGGATAAGTTAGGAATTTAAAAATACACCAACAAAAGAGGAAAGGTTTGCCCTTGCTGTTTTTTGTCATAATTCTTCATGGACTCCTTCTTTTCCCTTGTTGTTTCAGTTTATTTTATTTTTTTGCAGGAAAAGATTTTATTCCTAAAAATCTGTATAGTTTTACCAGAGACCAAAGAATTGTATAGTATACAAATCCTTGCAGAGACCTATAATTTTGTTTTTATGAATCTGTATAGTTTTACCAGAGACCAAGGAATTGTATAGTATACAAATCCTTGCAGAGACCTATAATTTTGTTTTTATGAATCTGTATAGTTTTACCAGAGACCAAGGAATTGTATAGTATACAAATCCTTGCAGAGACCTATAATTTTGTTTTTTATGACAGTAATTCAATGATATTGTTTGCCTCAAATTACATTCGAAATACAGCTTTTTCCCCTAGAGAAAATTCCCAATTACTAAAAAAATGGCTTAAAATTCCTGCCAATAAGTTGTACAATTTTTCCCAAACAGTGATGGTATCGGTAGTAATGTATGTAAATTTCGTATTCATGTTATTATTTTGATATTATGAAAGCACTTTTGAGATCCAGGTTTCTGATTAGAATCATCACAGCGTTTGTAACACACATGGTTTTCAATGTATTAAGTACCATCATTGTTTCCGTTTCTTTCCCCTCCCCAAAAAGTACCTTTCATGTTAAAAAAATGTCTGACAATCAAAATATACGTGAATAAACTTTGTACAATAAAGACAGCAAAGGTCAGCAAAAAATCTGGGATTTGTTGACAATTAAAATTTTGTGAAATTCCTAGTTTTTAACAAAATTTTGACTAGCCCGTCGGACTACTGTGATGAAAACTTTACTAGCCCTCCCTAATTTTTACTAGCCTCGGGCTAGCGGACTAGCGTTAGTGTCGAACCCTGTGTTTGGATGTACAAGTACCCGGCCACATCCACTTGTATTTGTAGTATTTGTATTTTTATCCATCTGATGAGTTAAGCCTCTTTCAACTGATTTTTATAGTTCGTTCTTATGTTGTACTGTTACACCACTGTCCCAGGTTAGGGGGAGGGTTGGGATCCCTCTAACATGTTTAACCCCTGCCACATTCTGTATGTATGTGCCTGTCCCAAGTCAGGAGCCTGTAATTCAGTGGTTGTCGTTTGTTTATGTTTTACACATTTGTTTTTTCGTTCATTTTTTGTACATAAATTAGGCCGTTAGTTTCTCGTTTGAATTGTTTTACATTTGTCATTTCGTGGCCTTTTATAACTGACTGTGCAGTATGGGCTTTGCTCATTGTTGAAGGCCGTACGGTGACCTATAGTTGTTAATTTCTGTGTCATTTGGTCTCTTGTGGAGAGTTGTCTCATTGGCAATCATACCACACCTTCTTTTTTAAATAAACAAGGTGATAATATGAATATAAATTTGGGGTATAATAATATCTAATTTTTGTATACTCATACAGCAATATCTTACTTTAGGTGTCTGTCCCTTGACTTTTCCTGCACGAGCAAGAGAACCGTGAACTTTACCTGTTGATAAAAAAATTATACTTTTAAAGAAAATTCAGCATTGTTACGATCAAAGTATCATCTATAAGATTTATGTTGGTCTAGGGAAAAGGAGAAGATTCACAAATGCTAGATTAGGTGCTAATAAAATGCTTCGCTGGGGCGCAGCTTGATACGACCGCAGAGGTCGAACCCTGAACAGTTGGGGCAAGTATGGACACAACATTCAAGCTTGATACAGCTCTGAATTTGGATTGTGATTAAATATTTGACACAGCATAGGTTTCTGACACAGAAAGAATGTGGTCTAAGAACTTGAATTTTTTTAATTTACCTATTATGGTCCAATGTCCAAAATCAAAATACATGGTTAGATTCAGCATATCAAAGAACCCCATATATTCAATTTTTGTTAAAATCAAACAAAGTTTAATTTTGGACCCCAACTTGGACAAACTTGAAAACTGGGCCCATAATCAAAAATCTAAACACATGTTTAGATTCAGCATATCAAAGAACCCTAAGAATTCAATTTTTGCTAAAATCAAACTAAGTTTAATTTTGGACCCTTTGGACCTTAATGTAGACCAATTTAAAAAACGGGACTTAAAATTAAAAATCTAAATACACGGTTAGATTTGGAATATCAAAAAACCCCAATAATTCAATTTTTGATGAAATCAAACAAAGTTTAATTTTGGACCCTTTTGACCTCAATATGAACCAATTTGATAGCGGGGCCCACAAATAAAAAATCTAAGTTCATGGTTAGATTCAGCATATCAAAGAACCCCATATATTCAATTTTTGTTGAAATAAAAAAAAGTATAATTTTGGACCCCAACTTGGACCAACTTGAAAACTGGGCCCATAATCAAAAATCTAAACACATGTTTAGATTCAGCATATCAAAGAACCCCAAGAATTCAATTTTTGTTAAAATCAAAGTAAGTTTAATTTTGGACCCTTTGGACCTCAATGAAGACCAATTTAAAAAACGGGACCCAAATTAAAAATCTAAAAACACGGTTAGATTTGGCATATCAAAGAACCCCAATAATTCAATTTTCGATGAAATCAAACAAAGTTTAATTTTGGACCCTTTTGACCTCAATATGAACCAATTTGATAGCGGGGCCTACAAATAAAAAATCTAAATACATGGTTAGATTCAGCATATCAAAGAACCTCATATATTAAATTTTTGTTGAAATCAAACAAAGTTTAATTTTGGACCCCAATTTGGACCAACTTGAAAACTGGGCCCATAATCAAAAATCTAAATACATGTTTAGATTCAGCATATCAAAGAACCCCATATATTCAATTTTTGTTGAAATCAAACAAAGTTTAAATACTGGACCCTATCTTGGACCAACTTGAAAACTGGGCCCATAATCAAAAATCTAAACACATGTTTAGATTCAGCAAATCAAAGAACCCCAAGAATTCAATTTTTGTTAAAATCAAACTAAGTTTAATTTGGACCCTTTGGACCTCAATGTAGACCAATTTAAAAAACAGGACCCAAAATTAAAAACCTAAATACACGGTTAGATTTGGAATATCAAAGAACCCCAATAATTCAATTTTAGATGAAATCAAACAAAGTTTAATTTTGGACCCTTTTGACCTCAATATGAACCAATTAGATAACGGGGTCCACAAATAAAAAATCTAAATACATGGTTAGATTCAGCATATCAAAGAACCCCATATATTCAATTTTTGTTGAAATCAAACAAAGTTTAATTTTGGACCCCAATTTGGACCAACTTGAAAACTGGGCCAAAAATCAAAAATCTAAATACATGTTTAGATTCAGCATATCGAAGAACCTCATATATTCAATTTTTGCTAAAATCAAACAAAGTTTAATTTTGGACCCTTTGGACATTAATGTAGACCAATTTGAAAACTGGACCCAAAATTAAAAATCTAAATACACTGTTAGATTCGGCATAACAAATAAATAAATGTGATCAAAGATTTTACAAATCTAATGCGCCATACTGTGCAATTAAAGATTACTTCTTGAAATTTTTCAATATTTGAAATTTGAAAAAAAAATAATATTTGAAGAATAATTCTTTTTAATTTCTGAAATCTGAAATGAGAAAAAATTGGCCCCCCACAATTTCTTTTTATCCCCCCCCCCCCCCCCCTTTTCCCCTAAAAAAATTCTTTCCCTCAAGATATGGTCATAATCTCAATTCAAATTTCCAATGGAGTTGGCAACCATAATTACCCATTTAAATTTACCATAGTGCTAACTTAATCTATTTTATAATAGAATTAATAAAAATATAGTGTCAAATCTTTCATATGGATTTTTTTTGTAAAAAAAAAGATGAAAACATTTGCAGATATTTTTACTGGTCTTCCTTTATAAATATGCATTTCTTTAAACATAATTTAAAAGCAGTGTAAGGGAAGTAACTAAAACGTTGTATTTGGATTACCTCCCTTACACTGTTTTAGATTATCTTTATTGTTCATTAACCATTACTTTATACATAATTTAAAAGCAGTGTAAGGGAGATAATTTCAATGATGTATTTGATGTATCTCCCTTACACTGCTTTAAATTATGTTTTGTACTAAAGTATTTGTCCATTAACCAGGACAACCTTGTTTTTCCCCCTTTTTTGCCCCTAATTCCTAAACGGTTTGAGCCATAACCCCCCAAAGCAAATCCTAACCATCCCTTTGTGGTATGGAAACTTGTAGTATAATTTCAGAGAGATCCATACACCGTTCCACAGTTATTGTCTGGAAACTAGAAAATGCTCATTTTTGGCCCCTTTTTGGCCCCTAATTCCTTAACTGTTGGTACCATAACCCCCAAAATCAATCCCAACCTTCCTTTTGTGGTATTTAACCTTATGGTCAAATTTCAAAAAGATCCATTCACTTAAACTAAAGTTAGAGTGCGAAAACCAATATGTATTCGGACGACGACGCCGGACGACGACGACGACGCCGGACGACGACGACGACGACGACGACGCCAACGTCATACCAATATACGACCACAAAATTTTTTTGCGGTCGTATAAAAATCAAAAGTATTATATTGTGCACCAAATGGTTAATTTTAATGTGCCGATTAGTTATTCTTCAAGTTCAATTTCTTATATTCTAATAGGCGGTTTGTCTCCAAAACTGACAAATATTTTAAATTCATGACATTTCCTCTTCAACCAATTTATATGCACTCTTTTCTCTGTTTGGAAAACATAAATCCAACTGTCGAGGATAGCAAATTTGAACTTCTAATGCTAAGGCATATATACATGTATTTAAAGTAAATGAAACATAGACTTGGTATGATAAAAAGATGATTTATGCTTTCATCAGCCTCGGATAAGACTAGATTTATAATTAGAAAATTAAAATACTTCTTGTCAAAGCTTTTCTAGTGTTGTCTTTAACAAAATGCACACATACATTTCTAGCAGTTTAGTATGTTATATAATGAAGTGAAAAGTCAAAAAATAAAAGCTTACCTCCAAGCATTCTGAGGTCAACATCAAGAGTTGAAAGTTCATTGACACTAGTTAGCTGGAAATCATCCTGTAAGGGTTTTCCTCCAAACATAATAACCTGTTCCTCAACTGGAAATCCATCCTTTGCTAATAAAAAGCTCTGAAACATAAAATGGTTTATTGCAGGTAATACTTTAATTTTAAATAAGTCTTTATATAATAGGTTATTGATAGTATGAGATCACCCCTCTCTTTTTGTTTGGGTTTGTGACTTTGTGTCACTTGGACTTTATATTTTTTTGTTGTGTTTTATTTACTTTTGTTTGTCTTTGGTTGTTTTTTTATTAATGCCATGGCATTGTCAGTTTGTTATTGACCTATGAGGCTTAATATCCCTTTGTTATCTTCTTCCTCTTTTTTTTCAATATATCTTCCTTCATATTTCATGCCAATTAGTAAAATTATAAAGAATATCACAAAACATATGAAAGTTATCTCTATGACTTGGAAAAATGTAGTAACAAAAAAAAAAGCATTATCTAGAGAGCAGCACAGTGGGTTTCCAAGTGGAAAAATAGGATGCTCTTGTTGTTGAGTAAGTGATATAATTATACAGAAAGGCTGGCCTTGGACAATAATTAGTGATGCATGTATGTGGTCAGTCCAAGCTTTATACATGTACATATGACTCTTTTGTATGCATTTTGCTGTAAATATATTATAAATATGCAAATGTTTATTTGAATAAAAATAACTTAATATGGATTAGGTAAAATCATTAGTTTGAAAAATGATAAGAGCGCCCTATATATCAATAACAAACATGGCGGAACGTAAACAAACCACCTCACGATTTTTTCTCTCTTATTTCTTGCTTATTGTACTCTATATAATCTGCACCCCTTCTGGCAGGTTCAATTTTGGAGAATAAAACCGCGGACTATACAAGCCTTTTAACAGTATTAGATTTTTTATATATCTCGTAGCTTATGCCCCTTTAAGCAATAATCTAGATGTATATATTTAAATCATATTGGATAAAACATCTGCCATTTAAAAATTTCAACATTCACCTTGATATCTGCAATGGTTTCTGTTCCGGACACCTCAAAGGTGTGGGTTTGGCTACCCCGTACAAAAAGCTGCATTTTTAACCTACTGATAAAAATAAAATAAATGTGATAATTATCTACAGTTTTTGTCAGACAAGTAATACTCATGATACATCAAATGCATATTCAATATCAATGTGAAATAAATGTGGATAGTGTCCACATGTGGACACAGATGATGCCCCCGCTTGCGTATCATATAGTTATAAAGGGACATAACTGAAGAATGGTAAAAGTGACGCTACCCAAATTGGAACTTGATCTGAGTTTTGTGGTAATAAGCATTGTGTGTAAGTCTCATAACATTTGGTTGAGGCTAACTTAATTACAGAACAGAAACTAAAAATTCAGCAATTTTTCTATTTGTAAACACGCATAACTCTAGAACGGTTGTGTACAAGTTTTATAACATTTGGTTGAGAAAAACTAAAGTGAGAGAACGGAAACGAAAAATTCTGTAATTTTTTTGTTTATAAAGGGACATAACTCAAGAATGGTAAAAGTGTCGCCACCAAATTTCGTTCTTAATCTGTATTATGTAGTAATAAGCATTGTGTATAAGTTTCATAACATTTGGTTGAGGCAAACTAAAGTTAGAAAACGGAAACAAAAAATTTGTACTTGATCTTAGTTTTGTGGTAATGAATATTGTGTATAGGTTTCATAATGTTTGGTTTGGGCAAACTTAAGTTACAGAATGGAAACTAAATATTTTGCAATCATTCGATTTATAAAGGGGCATAACTCAATAATGGTTAAAGTGACACTACCCAAATTCAACTTGATCTGTGTTTTATCAGTGGAAGTCAAAATTAAACATTGCATTGTATAAAGCATTGATTGTAGTTGATTCAACTATAATCATGGACAAAGGAAGATAACTCCATTTTTTAAAAATTTACTTGATATTTACAAGGACGTATATGTTAGTTATACGTCCTTGATATTTAGAAGAAAATAAAAATTTTGCAATTTTTCCATTTATAAAGGGGCATAACTCTAGAACAGTTAAAGTGATGCCACCAAAATTCAAACTTGATCTGTGTTTTGTGGTAATAAGCCTTGTGTATAAGTTTCATAACATTTGGTTGAGGCAAACTTAAGTTAGAGAACGGAAACTAAAAATTTTGCAATTTTCCCACTTATAAAGGGGCATAACTCTAGAACGTTTAAAATGACGCCACCAAAATTCAAACTTGATCTTTGTTTTGTGGTAATAAGCATTGTGTATAAGTTTCATAACATTTTGTTGAGCCAAACTCAAGTTAGAGAACGGAAACCAATTTTGGGACGTACGGACGTACGTACGTACAGACGGACAAGGGAGCATAAAAAAGAAATTTGCTCTTGAGACGACAGAATCTCATAAGGATATGACTCCATACCAATATTCAAGTTGGAAACCCTGTCCTTAGGCTTACCAGACTCTTAGCATGGGGTCTGACTAGTTTTCCCACTACTGTGAAGCTGGGGATGAGTTAGCAATGCACCTACCTCTCTGTTTTTCGTCAATACGTGGGTCTGAAGGTTGTGAAATATTTCAACGCTTTAAATATATAGTTTCGATACCCTAAAATAGAACAATAATCATCTAACAAAACTTACACGTGCTGGTGCAATGCAAATTCAGCCCAAAAAGGAAGTTAACACTGAGCATGCGTCAAAACGGAAGCAAGACAACTCGCCACACTGCAAAATCGCCCCACACCAAACGCCCCACTTTTTCACCAACTCGCCCCACTTTTTAAAAAATCGCTCCACTCTGGTTTACCAACTCGCCCCACTTATGACAAAGGGTAAACCGATAATATATAATAAAGATCTGCCAACTCGCCCTACTTATGAAAACTTATCTACACAGAATAAAACAAATCACTTGTATTCAATTTTCGATTTTTATTAGTGGGACGAGTTGGTAGTCATTAATGCAGTAAGATATTATTCTTTTTTTCATAAGTGAGACGAGTTGGTAGACCTTTATTCAGCGGGATTTTACCCTTTTTCATAAGTGGGGCGAATTTGTTGGACTATAAAATACATCGGGATTTTTATTTTTCATAAGTGGGGCGAGTTGGCAGACCTTTATTCAGCGGGATTTTACTATTTTTTATAAGTGGGGCGAGTTGGCAGACCTTTTATATTCAGCGGGATTTTAACCTTTTTAATAAGTGGGGCGAGTTGGCAGACCTATATTCAACGGTAAACAAGAGTGGGGTGATTTTTTAGAAAGTGGGGCGAGTTGGTGAAAAAGTGGGGCGATTTGTTGTGGGGCGATTTGGCAGTGGGGCGAGTTGTCATGAATTCCGTCAAAACGCGCTGGATAACTCGGACTAAAACAAAATCGGCCTATCACAAAATCGGACTATAACAACAACAAATGGAAGTTTTTAACGACATTGACTGGCTTTAAACTCGGCTTACCACTATTTATATGCAGAAATATTGAACAAACTCGGACTACGATTAGTAAATTGAGTTGTTAACGTTTTTTTTTCTGACTTTAAAAAAAACCTTTATATATAAAAAATTATATACGAATTTATGAGAAAATGATAAATATTTTTGAAGAAACAATATAAAGAAATGTATTAAAATAAATTTAGATCCATCATTGAAATATGTGTTATATGAGTTGAATTTGATATTTTTGAATAAGGATAATTAACTTCTATTTGAAATATTATTGTGATTTTCTCGTTTGTGATGCCGGTTTATTGACAAAAGATGTTTTAATGATTGGCGTGTGTCCATGTTTGTATTGTGTTTAATCCTTGGTGTTCATTATTAGTATACAAACAAAGAGAAATTTGATTTACAGTGAATAGCTTCTTTACAATTTCACTTATCTGTAATTCTTTATTAATGGGGGCCATTAATGGAAAAGTAACTATATTTAAATTGTCACATCAAACAGATACAATGTCTTTTTAGAAAGGCAAGCCGACGCAAACATTTATTATACATATTTCTCACAAACCACTTGGATTCAACCAATAAAAGTATGGCCAGAAACATATAATTCACTACACTGTCTTATAATTACATAAGAATTGTAATCAAACTAAAAAAAAAAAAAAAAAAGAACACGAAAACGTCAGTTATACCATAGATATCTATGGTTATACACAAGCTGCTACTGCGAAAAAATTGTAATATTTAGTTTTCATGTAATTACAGGTAGTTTTGTTCTCACTTTGGGTGATTAAATAGGTGTCAACAGTACATGTGCCAGTTGTTAGTTTAAATTCAGGTGATTAAAAAGTTGTCAACGATACACGTGGCGTGATGTCATATTCCCAGTTCAATCATATAAGATATGCATATGATAAATTATTTTGAGAGGGACATACAAAGAATAATACAGAAAAGACAGATAACTGGTAGATTTTCATTATTTTAAAAATGAATTTATTTCTTTTCTTTTTATACATATCTTATTAACGTAATTTATATTACTCGCTTCTAAAATGTTAAAATGATTATTTAATTAATTGTAAATCATTAAGTAATAGTCCGATTTTGTGAGGCCGATTATGTTATAGGCCGAGTTTGTTATAGTCCGATTTTGTTATAGCCGAGGGATTCCATCAAAATAGTTCCCCAAAATCAATGACGTACACCACAAACGACTGTCGCAGAGCGCTGTGTTGCAAAGTGAGACTGAGAGCCAAAATGTCTCAGCAGCTGAGCCAAATTAATGAACAAGAAACAACATGCATCCCTTGTCTGCATCGTATTGGCGATAATATAAAGAAGCACAAGCTTATAAGCCTAGAAAACAAAACAGAAGTATAATTACATAAATATCTCCCCTGTTTACACTGCCACTGGGAACAGTATATTTAACTCAATATATATGTTCCTGGTTTACTGTAGTAAAAAGTATATAAAAAAGTTGATATATATATACAATCATTATGGCATACCACATCTTATTTTTATAAACAAGTTAATCTGAAAGTTATTACTCACATTTGATACTCTTCTATAAGAATTCAGTAAAACTAAAAAGGAAGTTGATTAGCAACCTATAGTGTTTCCTGCAACTATTGAAAAGGGCAGGGCAATTTTTTTCTCAGAGGGCACTCTTAGCGTGATTGGCTACACTTTAAGGACACCCTTTGTGCGGAGGACTACACTTTTAGGGCACTCTTTACACAGGATATAAAGGCACTGTGATGGATAGGGATTTAATGGAATATACCATTGTTTCATATTTTATTATTTATCATGTTTATTGTTAAGAAATAAAGATGTATTAGATTGTTAACTTAATTCCTTTTTGTAATAAAATTATCACTTCTAGACTCAGGTAATATAATCTTGATCATGTTCATTGTGCAATTGCCTCATTTCAATCAATAACTCCAGTTATAAACTTTAATACTGGATCACTGAGACTGATTGTCTAAGGATGCGTTGTGAAAGTGGACTAGGGGTCTTTGCATGACCAAGAGCATATATGCAATGCATTGCTTTTTAGATGCACAAACGAAGTGCCAAATACCCTTTGGATCTCGCATGGTTATACCAATCAAAGCTACCTTGGCTCATAACTCTACAAATATTCAAAGATTTGTATAGCAAGATTTACTATACATATTCTTCTGCTTTTCATCTTTTTTCCATCTGTGTTTTTTTGTGTTTTTTTTATTAAAACTTTGTTTTTTGTACTAGTCAAAACTATATCAGCTATACAGCCCTCAAAGTAGCTTCTGAAATGAAGTTGCCAAATGGCCACCAGACATGAAAATTTAGTGGCCAACTCAAAATTTCAGGTTGCCTACATTTTTTTTTCTAGTTAAACAGCCCTTGTGAAATGAAAGTATTAAGTTTTGTTCTGTGTTTTTATGCTGGCGAGTGTAGAAAATAATTTGTATAAAATCAACTGTAAAATAACCACATGATTTATTTAATTTTATATTCATTGTACATGTTTTAAAACAGTCTGCAACGTTAAGCGTTGTCCCAAAGCCCCAGTCTAGTAAAAATCTCATCAGACTTGTGCTTAGAAGCACTGGTGGTTGCCCGATCTGTCAAGTTAACATCTGAAATTGTTTGCGAAATTGTAGCCGGTATTTTATTGAATCTAAGAGAACAAATTACAAAATCAACGACCTTGTTTCTATCCGTTTACTGACGAAATCGAGAACGAGGCCCGACCTTGTGCTTTCAATAAATACAATGTATAAATGCCAATGGTTTTCTTTCTAACGGCACGTAATAGTCAAAGTTGTGACTGAGTGCAGAAATACGAAGTACAAATGTAACTGCCATTTTCAATCAACAACAACAAATTGCTTACAAATAAACTTCAATTACCTGATGCTATAAAGCGCTGACAAGATCAAGCTTAAATCTAAAAGGCGCTTGAAATACAGTATAAATTTGTGTTACTGTCAAGCGCTCAGATGATTTTTAAAAAAAATCCACTCTGATCGGGGAAAAATTCACAAAAATTTACGGACGCCAGATTTTCAATTTTCTAATAGCCTAAATGGTGACCAGTTATGAATTTTTGGTCGCCAATCAGCTTTTAAAGTCGCTCAGGCAACCATTTCAGTAGACTAAATTGAGGGCTGCTATATACATGACATATATTCTTAACTTTGATTTTATTAAGATAACAACTGTATGAAAGCCGTCGTAAATTCACACCCAATTTGATGTCTCTACCGACCGAATAGTATTTGTACTCTAAAATTGAGAATGGAAATGGGGAATGTGTCAAAGAGACAACAACCCGACCAAAGAGCAGACAACAGCCGAAGGCCACCAATGGGTCTTCAATGCAGCGAGAAACTCCCGCACCCGGAGGCGTCCTTCAGCTAGCCACCAAACAAATATGTATACTAGTTCAGTGATGATGGACGTCATACTAAACTCCAAATTATACACAAGAAACTAAAATTAAAAATGATACAAGACTAACAAAGGCCAGAGGCTCCTGACTTGGGACAGGCGCAAAAATGCGGCGGGGTTAAACATGTTTTTTGAGATCTCAACCCTCCCCCTATCTGTCTGTTCAAACATTACAAATTCAATAAAATTTGGCCATTAAAATTTTGATTTTCGTTCCAAGGGATAGAAATCGAAAAAGGTCTTGCTAAAAGATAAATTGCAGAAGCGATCTTAAATTACAGTGTGATGTTCTAGAATACGACAGAAAACGCATAACACAGGAATGATGATATCAAAGTTAGTTTATTCTAATCTTTAGTTCATGAGAAAAGTGTGATATAAATTTCATACATGATTACTATCTGTAATGATAAAGAAGGACATGTATTCAGTAAACAGGAAGCTGATGAGCAATGAATGTGAAAATGCATCACTCTCGCACTGTATATCTTGCCCATAAGAACCTTACTACAAAAGGTTTGGCTTCCATAGAACAACACTTGTATTAAACGGACGTACAGATAGGATTAACCCATTACCCCCCTCCTCTTGGAGTGAGGATATAAAAAGAACTAAGCAACACCTGCGCTTCAAAATATTCTATCATACGAATGAATTTACAAGAAAATATAATTTATTTTCGCATATCAAATGATTTTGTTGGTTAATGCTTCAGTTGCCTGCCTTAACAGATTTGTTCAAGTGACATTAATATCTGCATATTAATGGAATGTTTAAACTAGAATTTATATCTGTATGTAAAGATTGGCAAAACCAAAAAAGGCTGCTTGTGTATTTATGTGGCGAATCCTAACCAAATCTTTGAAAGGAGACTTTCTTGAAAATATAAACCTGGATTTTCCAATCGCGTGAAAAACAGAATCAGGCCTGTACAAAAGAAACTAACATTTTGCAGTCTAATTTTTCATGTAAGGCCAAAATTGAGGATGAAATAACTTATGTATAGTATGCCAAAATAGATGAAAATAGTCCACTGATGGAAACATTAAGTGACCACAATAAACACAATACGTTTCAAAATTCAATGAACCTATAAGTTAATACAAATATATTTTTGATTACCAGTAGCAGTAGACTAGTGTGATACAGTAGCAATAAGATAATATCTTGTTACACCACTGTCCCAGGTTAGGGGAGGGTTGAGCGCTCACAAACATGTTTAACCCCGCCACAATCTTTATGTGCCTGTCCCTAGTCAGGAGCCTGTTCTTCATTGGTTGTAGGTTCATGTCTGTCATATATATTTTCGTAAATTGTTTTGTTATAAATTAGGCTGTTAGTTTTTATACGCCTGTTTACGGGACATATTATGGTACATGTACCGTTGTCCGTCCCTCGTCAACATGCCGGACATTAACTCAAAAAGCTTTAACCAATTGGCATAAAACTTTGGGGAATTGTTAACATCTATTGACATGAGCTCCCTTTCGTTTTTTATGAATTTTAGACTTTACGTTTCCGAGTTATATGGTTTTGTTCATCGAAAAAAGGGGGACTTTCCAGTTTTGTAGGTTGTAGGTTACTGTAGGGAGAGCACCAGATGTCACAGTTTGTCTCTTGTCTAACATGATATCAAGATGTCATGCTATATTTATTACCTTGTAGGTTACTGTAGGGAGAGCACCAGATGTCACTGTTTGTCTCTTGTCTAACATGATATCAAGATGTCATGCTATATTTATTACCTTGTAGGTTACTGTAGGGAGAGCACCAGATGTCACAGTTTGTCTATTGTCTAACATGATATCAAGATGCCATGCTATATTTATTACCTTGTAGGTTACTGTAGGGAGAGCACCAGATGTCACCGTTTGTCTCTTGTCTAACATGATATCAAGATGTCATGCTATATTTATTACCTTGTAGGTTACTGTAGGGAGAGCACCAGATGTCACCGTTTGTCTCTTGTCTAACATGATATCAAGATGTCATGCTATATTTATTACCTTGTAGGTTACTGTAGGGAGAGCACCAGATGTCACCGTTTGTCTCTTGTCTAACATGATATCAAGATGCCATGCTATATTTAAATGTAATGAAAAGGGACAGTGGACTGTGAGAGATAATAAGGTAATAGCCAAATACAATCCAATTATTCATTTTTATTTGTCTGAAGTTATTGTTTGAGATGTTCTTAAAAAATGAATTGTTTAAATATTCCATTTAAGTTGAGACAAACATGTACATGATTTATTTTATAAAGGGAAGTTCATTCTTCTTGCTATGGTCAGGTCAAATGTCACCAGTCATTGCTAATCACAACCTTAGGTGTACAATTTTTATATGACCGTAAAAAAAATTTGCGGTCTTATATTGGTATCACTTCGTCATCGTCGTTTTGTATTACGGACAATAACTTAAGTAAATGTAAATAGAAATCTATGAAATTTAAACACAAGGTTTATAACCACAAAAGGAGGTAAGGTTTGTTTTTGGGGGTTATAGTCCAAACAGTTTAGGAATTGGGGGCCAAAAAGTGGCCCAAATAAGCATTTTTCTAGTTTCCAGACAATGACATGTGGAACGGTGTATCGATCTCTCTGAAATTGTACCACAAGTTTTCATATCACAAAGGGATGGTTAGGATTGGCATTGGGGGGTTATGGCTCAAACCGTTTAGGAATAAGGGACAAAAAAGGGGGAAAACGAGGGTTTCCTGGTTAATGGACTATTTAGAAAAAGTACAATGTTATGTTTGGATTACCTCCCTTACACTGCTTTTAAATTATGTATAAAGAAATGTTGTATTGTCTGAGGTGATTAGCTGTCAATTTATTTTTAGAAGTTACTATTTAAAAATGCTGATTAAGGAATATTAATTTTAGCCATGATTATGTTTGTCATTTTCTATTTTTATACTTTTATGATGTATTTAAAAGGGTAATTATGGTTGCAAACTCCATTGGAAATTTGAATTGAGATTATGACCATATCTTGAGGGAAAGAATTTTTTTTTTTTTGGGAAAAAAGGGGGGGGAGGGGGGGAGGTGAAGCAATTTATTAAAATATTATCTAGAATTATTACATTCTGACACTTCAAATTTTTTATGAATTTTATTGAATATCAAGTTATGTCCCTTAGACATTCAGATTTTTTTACTTATATAAGTGAAAAAGTCATCCTATCTTCTTTTCTTGAATTCTTAGGACTTTCTTTGCTCTAATAGAATTTTAAATTGTCTGTCCTTTGCAGATGTCTTAACTAATCATTTAAGTGTAATTTCATGGACAATGAAAATCTCATTTGTCTGTTATCTTCAGAACACTGCTCATTTACAAGTCCCCAAGGAGCAATTATTGAAGGCCTTGTGCAAATACTTAAGATCTTGGCGCAATCGGTTTCTTTGTTGAATTGATGAGATGAATCATTGAACTCTAATAAGAAATTATGAGCAAACCTGGGAAAAATCATTAAAGGCATGTTTTTACATCTCAAAACGTGACAATTTTTGTGGGATTGTAAAAAAAATTTACTTATACAAGTGAATTTTGAGAAAATTAAGGGCGAGATTATTCAAACATTTAATTAACTTATATAAGTATATTTTTTTTACTTCTTCAAGTAAATAAAGATTACTTGTACAAGAAGTACCCCTGACTGTACATGTAAGGATGTTAAGATGCATAAAAATAAGTCTGACACCAACTTGGTAATTTATTTTAATTTAGGCATTGGCACTCCACATGCTCCTGAAAAAAGTTATCAGTAGAATATTTTTTGTACGCATTTTGAACCAACCATATATGTGCAAAGATATAACAATATGGCCAGTAGCTATATATAGCCTTTCATTAATAGAAACACTGCTTTGATAGTTAAGTTTAATGTTTTATGCATGTTACCCTTGTATAGTTTCAATATCAAATAGGGAGTGCTTGATTTTTCCTTTGTAAAGAAGAAGCTTGAGGTGCAGGTTGATAGATTTTTTTCTATTTATGTATTTTTAGAGTCTGAATGGAGTATTTGTCAATGGAAAGAAACTGGAACCCATGTGTCCTCAAAATCTAATTGATTGTGACACAGTTCAGTTTGGAGTTACTAAAAATAGTGAAGAACCTCCAGAATTCCTGTATAGATTTCACACCAATCTAAAAATCAAGAGAGCAAGACCAAAGTCTCTTGATGAAGTTGACTGTGCCACACCAAAGCGACAGAAACCCATGCCACTTGAGGGACAGACAGTTACATTTCAAGGACCTAGCAACCAAAAACATCCTGAGTGGTCACCTTATCAGGAATATAAAGACAAGCTAAAACAGCAAGAAGAAGAAATGGCAAAAAAGATGAAGGAATATGAGCAAAAGTTATCTGAAATGAATAGTGTTTTAAAGGATAAAGAAGAAATGCAGGAAGCTATGAAAAATGAGCTGGAAGAGGAAAAAAAGAAGCGTGAAGAGAACAGAAAGGAAATGGAGGAAACAATGAAAAAAAAGCAAGAGGAAATGGAAGATGAATTGAGAAGAAAAGAGGTAATACTAAAAAGAATAGTGATTTTTCTATTATCTGACAAACATACTAATTTTTTCCATGACCCTATTCTTTTTTATACGCCCGTTTACGGGTCGTATTATGGTATACCTCTGTCCGTCCGTCCGTCCGTCTGTCCGTCGTCAACATGTCGGACATTAACTCAAAAATGCTTTAACCAATTTGCATAAAACTTTGGTGAATTGTTTATATCTATTGACGTGAGCTCCCTTTCGTTTTTTATAAAATTTAGATTTTAACTTTCCGAGTTATGGGGTTTTATTTATGTCTAACATAAGAATAGAAATGAATGCAAAGAATACTGTCTGCTTACCACCTACCAAACTGTCCTATTTATGCCTGAGACAGCTTTCTCTACAAAAAGTTATGTGGTTAGAATTGGAAAATAGGACATTTTTTTATTCATCATTTCATATCTACAAGTACATTATTTTTGTTTGACTTACTGATAATTGTTACCAACATAACCAGAAGCAAAGGAAGTACTGTATAGCGATTATTTTCGCGGGTGTAAAATTTGCGATTTAAGGACAACAAAGTATACGTAAAATTTTGGAGGTTTTTATTTTGGTGGATTCTTAAGTCCTAATTAAATATTTTGGCAGATACTGCAATAGCTGCAGATAAAAAGTTGTAACAATTGAGAAGCAAGTGTCTATTGTTATGATTAATTATTTTTTTTTACCTGCATGACGTCTTATTTATTGATTATATTCTGATACAGTTCATCAATAGAATACTGGTAACTTAGATATTTGTCACAGGTATACACACTTGTAAATTTTACGGTTGATTAGTTACAAAATTGACCGAACCTTTGATGTACTTACTAATTAGGTTATAAAATAATCAAAAGTGACTTACAACTCTTATGTAATTTGACACTTATTAATAAGGGTAATTACCTGATAGAGAACCTTACACTATAAATCTATTTAACACGATTTGATAAGGATATACATACCTAACAGTCATTTTATGAAATACATGAACGTACAATGCTCTTTGGCCTTTATGTTGTTAAAACTAACCTATACAATAATTGACCTGCCTACCAGAAAAAAATATCGTTTACAAAGCGCTTTAGCTATTAGCAAGTACCGAACGTATGCATAAATTTTCGCGGAATTTATTTTTCATGATTTTCATTTATCCGCGAAAATAACCCGCTATACAGTATATTTTGTTTTTATTCCATATCTTCTTAATATGGATGCTTCAGTTTATAATGAAAAGCAAGAAAAATAAATTATTGTTTTACATTCTATATTGTGGTATAAGGTATGTGAAACTAAAGGAATGATAACTGAGCAATGTTGAAACACTTTTAAGACATTACTAGACAATTTTAAAAAGCATCATTGAAAGCAATACTTTTTTTTTCATCTGCAAAATTAAAAAAAAAGAATTGACCTGGGGAGGTAAATTAAGACCAGGCAGGGTTAGGGGAAACAAACAGTCATTTTTGCATGGCCTTAGCTAGAAACTGTATCTAAAGTTTAAAATTCCTAAAAGATTGTTGTCATGAGAACTAATCTGTTAACAATATGAACAAGGAATCTGTTGTTATAGAATAATTTTATGATAGCAATAGGACATTATCATGATCTACAGGTTAAGTGACGTTCTTATCCACAATATTTTTAAGGATAATTTATAACCAAATAAACCATACATGTAGTAATGTATTAAACCAAATAAGTTATCACTTTAATTCTGAATGCAGGAAGCAGAAAAACAGATGAAGGAAGAACTGGAAAATAGGTTGTTAGAGAAAGAAGCTACACTGCTTGAACAGTTGCAGGAACAGAAAGAAGGATTAATTGAAGAAAAAGAGAAAGTAGAACAAAGTTTACGTGTAGCCATGGCAAAAGCTTTGGAAGAAAAAAATAAAACTTTAGAAGAAGAATTAATTAAACAAAAAGAGAAACTAGAAACAGTAATTTTAAAGAAAGAAACTGAACAAAAAATGTTAGAAGCACAATTAAATGAAGTGAAAGAAGAAAAGGACAAACAGACAGAGGCAGTGTTACATGCGAAACAAGACATTTTAACTAATTTTGCAGATTTAATGGAAACTGAGTTACAGTGTAGTATTTGTAATGAACTATTTGTACAGGTATGCTCAAGTTGACATGAAAGTGTAAATGTAAAGAATTTACTAGTCATTGTTACATATGTGGTTTGTCTTTTAGATACCGGTAAGTTTGTCAATTTTTAGCCACATGCAAAAAAAGCTGGACTTTATGGCTTTCAAGTCAACATCAGGTAAAAGAAAATATGTGCTTTTTAAAAGTGAAAGTAAGGTTCTTATTAGTGTTATTGTATTAATAAAGAGTATAGCTTGAATGTTAGTGTGCTCATGTTGCACACCTCATATGCATACAATGCACTATAAATTAGCAAAACCATGTACAAGTTATTATTAGTTCATGGATTTCATATCCAAGAAGGAAGTTATTGTTTTCATGTCAGTTGTTGCCCAATTATTACTGTGATTGCCATTTATATCTAGGTAAGTAAAAAAGTTTTATAGATAGTATTGAAAAAATGCCTGGCTGGCTCAATTTTTTTTTTTTTGGGAAGCTTTGAATTAAAAGTCTCATAAATTTTCCTGTTGTTTCATCACATTAGCTGTATATCAGAGGAGTAACATTTTTGCTGTAGCGTCAAGATAATTCTTTCCTGTATTCTGAATTTTGACTTTTGTAGGCGACATCACTGAACTGTTCTCATTCATTCTGTGCCTTGTGTATACAACAATGGATGAAAATCAAGAAAGAATGTGCTGTGTGTCGAGCTCCTGTAACAACAACAATGAGGGCAATATCTCTAGATAATTACATAGATACTATGGTTTCACATCTTAGTGATGAGCTTAAGGAAAGGAGAAAACAGTTGGTGGAAAGCAGAAAAGGTAACAAGAGAAAGTATGTTGGAATAGAATCAATATAATGTCTTTACTAGGTTAACATTAAAAGACATTCTTTTCTCACATGATAAATAGTTAGCTATTGTGTTGTTACTATCTTAGCAAACCTAGTTGGTGAGATGGCCTGCACAAGTTTTGAATATTCTTTGAATCCATATTAAAAGACATTCTTTTCTCACATGGTAAATAGTTAACTATTGTGTTGTTACTATCTTAGCAAACCTAGTTGGTGAGATGGCCTGCACAAGTTTTGAATATTCTTTGAATCCATTGGATGGGTGAGAAAAAAAATTAAACGCCTCAAATAATGCAAGATTTGGAAATGTTAGGCACCTTGGTTCACCTGACAGGTAAACAAGTACATGTACCTGACATCGATCAATCTTTCTGAAGTTGTGTTTCATATTTGACTGATCTGCAACTAGAGAATTATAGCAATAATTGGTATAGTTTGTTGTAAGAATGGTATCAAAACTAATTAAATTCAGAAAATGTTTGAGTGAAAAATCTACAAACTGTTGTTTATGTATATACCAATGTGCAATTGCCTTCAAGTGTGAAACTTACAAATGCATATCTAAGCTTTCAAAATACATTTATAAGTTTTTTAAATCTTGTCTTTTGTTCATCAGTTCATTAACAAAACCATGTTAAAGTTATTATTAGTTCATGGAGTTCATATCCAAGAAGGAAGTTATTGTTTTCATGTCAGTTGTTGCCCATATATTTGAAGATAAAAACATCAGAAAACTTACTAAACTTGTGGATGAAAATAGGTATCCAACAAATAATATCAGGGTTCCAGCTTGATTTTTTTCACAGGGTAGCCCGCCCTTTCCCGACTGCTGCCTTGTGCCCTTTTTAAGACCACCTGCCCTTTTTCGCAAGTCCATACCTATAATGCCGTATCATTTTGAAGAAAATACTATAATTCTACCTGTCTTCTTGTTAAGTCTCCCAAACGAAGTTTGGGAAGACTTATTGGTTTTGCTCAGTTATTATTATTATTATTATTCTTCTTCTTCTTCCTCTTCCGCCGCTTTTAAATTTGAACTTGTCCGCACCCGTTCTCCAAAACCGCTTGTCAGATTAACTTAGGATTTCACAATATGTTAGACTAACATGTCTAGTGGTGCAATCAGGGTTTTGTTTGTGCAATGGGGTTTATAAAGGGGTACTTTGAGGGGCAAAAAGAAAGGAGGGTTTTACTATAGAACCCTATGGGATTTTATTTTTTTAAATTTTCAAATGATTCTAAATTGAAATCCGTTTGTGATAGACACAATCTTTTTAATTGAAAATGTTCTAAATGATAAAGCACATTAAATGAAATACAGGGTTAGTCCCAAGGGGTCACCCCCACCCCCTGCCATTTGAGAAAGTTCTAATCTTGTAAATGGTCGAGATCCCCACCCCTAAACCATATATATTCTGGTTTGTCATGCTAAGATGTTTTGAATGATATACAGGGTTAGTCCCCAGGGGTCATCCCGACCCCCTGCCATTTGAGAAAATTCGAATATCTTGTAAATGGTCGAGATCCCCACCCCTAAACCATATATATTCTGGTTTCTCATGATAAAGCACATCAAATGAAATACAGGGTTAGTCCCCAGGGGTCACCCCCACCCCCTGCCATTTAAGAAAGTTCTAATACCTTGTAAGTGGTCAAGATCCCCACCCCTAAACCATATATATTCTGGTTTGTCATACCAAGATGGTTTGAATGATATACAGGGTTAGTCCCCAGGGGTCATCCGGACCCCCTGCCATTTGAGAAAGTTCTAATATCTTGTAAATGGTCAAGATCCCCACCCCTAAACCATATATATTCTGGTTTGTCATGATAAAGCACATCAAATGAAATACAAGGTTAGTCCCCAGGGGTCACCCCCACCCCCTGCCATTTAAGAAAGTTCTAATATCTTGTAAATGGTCGAGATCCCCACCCCTAAACCATATATATTCTGGTTTGTCATGATAAAGCACATCAAATGAAATACAGGGTTAGTCCCCAGGGGTCACCCCCACCCCCTGCCATTTAAGAAAGTTCTAATATCTTGTAAATGGTCGAGATCCCCACCCCTAAACCATATATATTCTGGTTTGTCATGCGAAGATGATTTGAATGATATACAGGGTTAGTCCCCAGGGGTCACCCCCACCCCCTGCCATTTAAGAAAGTTCTAATATCTTATAAATGGTCGAGATCCCCACCCCTAAACCATATATATTCCTGTTCATCATGTCTCGAACATTTGAATGACGTATACGGTCAGTCCCCAGGGGTTCCCCCCACCCCAATGTTCTAATATCTTGTAAATGGTCGAGATCCCCATCCCTAAACCATATATATTCCTGTTCGTCATGTCTCAGAACATTTGAATGACGTATAGGGTCAGTCCCCAGGGGTTCCCCCCTCCCCCAATGTTCTAGTATCTTGTAAATGGTCGAGATCCCCACCCCTAAACCATATATATTCTGGTTTGTCATGCCAAGATGATTTGAATGATATACAGGGTTATTCCCCAGGCATCACTAATGCATATAACTTTACTGGACTTTGTCCAATGTCAGGCGATCCTGGGAATTACGAATTATGGGAGCTTCCTTTGGGAGACTTTGTAACAGCATCCTGTTACAATCATTTCTTGTTTCTGACAAGTTTATGACCCTCTAATTAACCTTTAAAGCAGGTGTTAAAAGTTGTGATTTCAGGTAATCCGATTATCGCCATCGGATGGTCACTAATCCGTTAATTAATAAACCTCAAAATTGACCATTATAATTATTTTTCCCAGTAATATCTGTCAGTCGGCATTTTAATTTCAATATTTCTCAAAAGACAACAATTTGCAGTTCGTTTATCCGTAGACAATGATAGATGTTTGAGTAGTTTCATCATTTGAACAAAATTATTTTCACCCGGACAGTGTGCATTTTAATTTCGAAATTTTTTAAACAATCACTATTTGCAGCTCATTGACTTATAGGTTCTGTAATACAAACATATTTTTGTCACATTTTAGACTTTTCATCAAAATCTTTCAACAATTTTGATTATGAAGATGAAATTTTATTCAAAACGTTCAAAAATATTTTCACGAGTCAAACAGGTGCTTTCTTTATCATGTACTGCGCATGCGTGAATGTATTCTTATAAATTTAATAGACACTAAAACGTAAAATACGAAATAATTTAGTATAAAATTAAACGAGAGACACACATATATTTCTTACTGAGCAACTTAATTTAAAAACTGATTATTTCCTTCCTTTTTGTTAAACACGATCCAATCCGTAGATGAATCCAGATTCATTCTAAATATAATATCCTCTTGTCACTTCCTGTTTTCATTTCATTCAAAAATCGGAAGTTAACGTGATCTATTCTTGATAAATTTAGAATATACAGTCATTTAAATCGTTCCAAGTTTATAAAAATGAATTAAAAATATTGATTTAAACGTTTTCATTTATGCTGTGATTCCTGATCATTCCTGGTTTTAAAAAAGAGGAACCCAAATTTTGTTGATCAGAAATGTCCCCTGAAAATAACTGAAGTGAAATTGTGAACTAGGTTTCCAGATCCTTGTTCTAATCTTTAATATTTAAGCATCACATCAGTCAAATCATGCAATAACTGCCTACATTTGTAGCATGCCTAAGGCCTTCAAAGATCCTTGGCCCCTTACTGTTACCAGAAATAAGGTTAATTTTCATTTCGCGTAAAAGTGACTAAAGCCCTCAAACTCCTAGCTGAACCCCCTGCTGTGTACATAATAAAAGACAATGTTTGACATGCCCTTTTTGAATTATCAATCAGCGTGCTAAAGTGCCCTTTTCATGATTGGCTTCCTGCCCTTTTGAAATCCTAGCTGGAACACTGAATATTGAATTCACAGTTTACCCCACATCTTCTTTGATTCAAAATCAGAAAATGTTTGAAATTTCATTATCTGAGACAATAAAGCACTTATTTTGAGATGAATTGTAATTCCATATTTATATATTTTATTCTAGGTGACCAGCAAAAGTTTGATGAAGAAAACAAACCAAAACCTCCAGTAAATGCAGGACGAGGCCGTGGCAGAGGTGGAAGACGAGGGCGTGGTGCAAGAGGAGCAAGAGGTGGTGGGGCCAACAACCCAATAGTTGTACCTGCTGCTAATCCTTTAACCAATGCTGTAGGTCATCATCCTATTATTGTTGAGGATGATTTAGAAATAGATGGTGTTGAAATCACCATTGGAGAAGACGATGTAGAGGATAATAGTAATCCATTTACTGATTCTGATGAAGATTCTGCAATGAATTCTAATTCAGATAACTCGGATGATTCTGATTCTGAATATATACGAGGTGATGAGGGTGCTTATTATGGTGGTTATGGAACTTGTTACAGATGTGGTAAGTTATGATACATGTTCATGTACTTAAAACTAAAAGGAGAATTAAACCTTAATGAGACAGCAACAAAACATTGTAAGCTTACAAAAAAAAAAAGAGTTTGAGAGGTTACCATATAATCTTCAAAAATATGCAAGTAGTAACACTTTTTGCATGTGCATAGTAGTGAAAGAATCTGTTTGATAAAGTGTATATGCTATTTGCATTTGGGATAGACACTCAGAAATATTGTCAAATCTGAAAGAAAAAACCATCTACAACAAGTACGTGACTGTAAAAGATGTCTAGTTAAATGTATATAAAGGTTGGTGTATAAATTTATGTGTTTAGATATAATGAAATGTAGTCTAGTTTGATTTTTAAGGGGCCAAACTTCCTGACTGTAAACAATAAATTCAGAAAAAATTTTGCTTGCCTATTTTGTTTCAGTTGTTGAACAATTGACACATATGCAAGATTGTGATTATTTCTGTAACAATTTTTGCAAGAATAAAAACATTGCAAAAATTTCTGAATTTACAGTACTTTAATATTAACCATATTTTGATGAATATATAATTTCCACTTGATCAAAAGAAATATTTTTTACATGTTATCATGAAAACTACTGAACATTCAAATTTATTGTGTTTATTGTAATATTTGTTTTATTTGTAGGTTCACGTGGTCATTGGGCAAATGGATGTCCTTATAGATGAAAAGGTTGTACAAAAACTATGTGCTGGGAGATTACCAAAAAGTGTTCAAGACTGAAAACGTCATACTCAGTATTACCAAATGTGTTCATTATAAACATTACATATATTTACAATGTGAAATGTTAACAGATAGCCATAGAAATATTTTGAATTGATTGTTAACATGAGTAAAATTATGAGTTTCTTAGTATAGTACAAAAAAACAAATATGAAATCGATAAAAGAGTTGTATTGTGTTTGGCTTTATAACACAATGGGTTCATTGTTCACAGTGATTTATAAATGGATAGATAGTAAGTGAAATGCCACTACTATTTTAATATTGATTTATACTGTAAAATATAAATCAGACTGACTATTCATCAAATACTAAAAACTTATCAATGTCAGTTTTGTCTGTCTCATATTGGTATGCTAAATAAAAATTGATATATATAAAAAAAATCTGTAAGATATCAGATAAGGTATATATCCAAAATCAAGATTTAATCAAACACGAATACTGACAAATGAGTAAGGGCTACCTTTTAAATGCATTATAAGAAGGAATACAGATTATACTACCTTAGATAATTTCAAATATGTTTGACTGTACAATGATTATATTTTTTGTGTAAAAAATTCAGTTTTTTGTAAAAAGTAATATCTGATTTGTATTATAACGTGATATGCATATCTGTGTGTGTAATGTCAGACTAGAACAGGCAAAATGTAGAAAAATTTTCACTGGAAAACCTAATACTCGTGAATCGATAACTTTGGGTACAAAATAAGTTTTCACAATCTTAACTTTTCATTAAAAAATATTTCTTGATTTTATGAAAGGTTAATATACACATCTACATTTGATGCCTAATACTATCATATTCTTATCACTCCAAGCAGAAATGTTGAAAAAGCTCGCACAAAATTTTTTTGGACTAGGGTCAAACATTAACATAATGTTACTATACAAAACCTATAGGTAAAATCAGGAGGATGGTGTGATAAAGATAATATGGTTCAGGAATCAGTCTTAGTTAGATACTTGTTTTGTTTATGATTTAAAGCTTTTATTTGTTAAGGTGGTATGGGAGTATAAACGAAAAATAATAGAAATTTTCCAACTTTGCCAAAATGTAGTGTATATTGTGATATGTTCAAAAATATAAAAAAAGTGATAGGTCATCAAGCTTGTTTTCAAGCAACAGGTTGTGAAAAAATGACACAATTTGTATTTATTATACAGAGAAAAAGCATCATGATGTGAATAGAAGGTAAACTAAATGATAGAATTATAAAATAAAGTATGAGAAGGTAGCTCATATAAAATGCTTTCTGAATATCAAAAGAAAAAATGGGATCATTAACACAAAATAAAAAAATGTCCTGAATGTTTTTTTTCTGCTTTAACATCAAATAGGAAAATTTCCTTAAGATTCCTTTATAAATTGTACATTTTCCGAGTAACCTCCTCTTAACACGCAAAGTTTTTATAATTGAAATCAAGCAAAAATATTCTACTTTTGTTAAAATATGAGTGATTATAACTTAAGATCAATTAAATTTGTTAACTGAAATGAAAATTCTTATCAGTAAATTGCATTCCTGCATCAAAGTTTGCTGACTTAATAAAAAGTCTAGACCCATTGTGTTCTGCTGTTTTCTGATCCAAGTTGGTGGAAGATGCCCATTCCACCTTCAGGAATACATAGTTGCTTTAATAGAGTATACTGGTTTCTTATGTCCAAATCATTAGGACTTTGGTGGATTGATGTCTCATTGGCTTCATACCACATCTCCTTATCTTATAAAGTATAAAAATGCAAAGAATGACATGGGATGAAGATGATTGAAATTTTAGTTTCATGTTAATACCATGTAATACTATTCCTTTAAAGGTAAATGATGTAAATGTAGTTCAGTGTGCACAACAAGCTTTATCAGTAAATCTTCAACTTGTATATTTAAGACCATCAAACCAAAAGACAAAAAAAGGGCAAAAACTGTGGTCAAGATTGCCAATGAGACAAATCTTCACCAGAGACCAAATGACGAAGGAGCTAGCCACTATAGGTGACTGTATGGCCTTCAACAATGAGTGAAACTAAAAAAGGAGATGTGGTATTATTGCCAATGAGACAACTCTCTGCCAGAGACCAAATGATGTAAAATTTAGCAACTATATGTCACCTTACAGCCTTCAACAAGAAGAAAAACAATGTATACTTTATGTATATAGTATCCTGGTTCTTTTACAAGCAAAATTTATCATTATAATTACTGTTTATGTCAGAGGTTGAATTCGGATCTAGGTCTTAATCGTGTCAATTTCATTCAAAGTCAAATTCACTGGTTGGTAAGATTAAAACTAAAATTTAGATTTAAATGTTCAATTGCTGGATATAAAACAATATTTGTACATTGTAGTAAAATATAAAATTTATTTGTACTCTCTACGAAAAACTGTTTCTAAAGCTCGTACATGTAAATTTTATATTTTTCTACAATGTATAAATATTGGTTATGTATTCAGTGAGATTGTTGACTGGTAGATTATAAAACCAGTGCTTTTCTTTTAGCTTAAATATACTTGCATGTATTAACAAGTGTTTCAGTATGAAATATTTTTCACAGGAAAATCTGGATCCTAAGAGGTTGATTATATTGCAGTACACTTGTGTACAGATAAATGAGGTCTAGACTGGTTTAATGTTGATGTTGTAAGAGTTTTGGTAACTGCTGTTTGAAAGGGGCAAGTTTGAACTATGTGACAAGGTTTTTATCAGCGATCAAAATTTTGCTTTTAGTTTTGTTCTGTTATTTTTCTGAAAAAAATATCACTATTTTGTTTTCCTCTTATTTTTTATTCTTATTTTAATGATATGATTTATTGGCAGTGTATTATTACACTGCATCAGCATACATAAGTTTTGTTAAAATTACCTTTCTTATGCTATAAAGGATAGTTACAATTGTTTCTGTCTCAGCTGCAACGAAAGACACGGAAAGTGAGACATGGGGATTGCATTTCTGGCGACGACGAAACCGATGGCATCAACAATTGTTAAGTTTTCTGCTTAAGTTAGTTTGATAGGAACTACAAGTGATAGATCATTGATATTTAATATAAAGTTGCATTACTAACAGTACATATCAGTTTGAAGACTATTTTGAGGCCCTGCCCCCTAGGTCATGGTCCAGTGACTTTGAATAAATAAGCAATTTTCAATGTTAAGTTTTCTGCTTAAGTTAGTTTGATAGGATCTACTTGATAGATCGACGATATTTTGTATGAAGTCACTTTACTTTCAGTACATATCAGTTTGACGACCATTCTCAGGCCCCTCCCACTAGATCATGGTCCAGCGACTGAATTAATAAGCAATGTTGCTGTCTATCAGATTGTCTTTTTCTGACTTTTATACACACAGGCGAGACATATCTCTGTGTCAACAGTTTATTTTATTAACAGTCATCAGTTGATTGCTATGCAAAAATTGTTTTAATATTTTTTCAATAGGATTTTTGAACTACAGTGTGTATTTCCAAATTTGATGTATGAAATGTGTTTGATGCTGTTTAAGACTGAAATTACATAAGAAGAAAGAATAGAATTGCATTATTCAATAAAAAAAAAAGAGAAAAGAAACAAAAGTATTAAGAGCTTTTAGATAGATTTTACGAATGAAAAAAATGATAAATCAGTCAGATGGGAACAGGATTAATATGTTTGCCACCAATTTCATTTGACCTTTAAGTCTCTAATGTGAAGTTAACAAAATTCACAGACATATCAAAAGAATGAAATAAAAGGACTTGACTGTATATATTATTATATGTGAACATGATTTCATATTGTTTTATAGATAACACAATTTGACTCAAATATTTTATAATGAGAATTGCTTTAAATATGTTCTTATATTGTTCACTTTTTTAAATGCCTGTCATGGAGGGTCATATTATGGTATATGAATTTCTGTCTATTCAACTACATCTAAGGATAACTAAGTTTTCTAGAAAAACTACAACATTTTACATAACATTTGGTTCTGTGAAGAAAAACCCTCTTTTGATTTTTATGAAGTTCAAATTTGTTGTTGTAGAGTTATGGGAGTTAAATGTTAAAAATCTCGAAATTTGAAGCACGTCCAATGATAACTCATTTTGCTTCATTAAAACATCACTCAATGCTTTCTCCATGAAGAAGATCTCCCTTTCAAATTTAAAAGATTTTTCAGTTTGTAATTTCAGAGGTACATGTATACATAAAACCTTAAAAGATAAAATTCAAAACTATGAAGCACATCTCTAGTTTGCTTTGTTGGATGTTTTGTTCCATAAAGAAAGCTCCCTTTCAATTAGGACAATTTTAGATTTGCTGTACCTGAATTATGGGACTTGAGATATTAAATTTTTCATGAAAACTCATTTATTTATCAGATCGACACAGAATTTTTACACAATGATTGTTTCCTTTAAGCAAACATCCATTTTGATCATAGATTTGTTATGTAGATTAAAAGGACTTTCTTGGTAAGATTATAAATATTTTGTATGTGTTCAAATGATGGGGACAGACATATCATGCTTTTTTGGAGCAGCTGTTTATTTGATATATAAAAAAGTAAACTTAACATTTGTTTTAATTGTTACAAAATAAACAAATAAACTGGAGAGTAATGAAGTTGTGTACATGTAATCCATCGTATATCTGTTATGTCCAAAAGAATATCTGTTATGTCCAAAAGAATATCTGTTATCTCCTAAAGAATCTGATATTTACTTATGATTTGCCTCTGAAATGGAAATTTCTTTTATCTTAACATTCTTCTAGGTTATCATAAATTTGTGTGATGTTTATGATGAGATTTTGTGAGCTAATCATTTTCACCCGATCTGATTTTCACATTGTTTCACATAAGTTGCATAATTGGATTTGTTACTTATTACTTTTCATATTGAAACGATATGTGGTATTAAATTTCAGGATTAAGCCTGTTCTTTAGCAATATAGAATAAAGGTATGATCGCCAATAAAACAACTATCCAACAAAGTCCAAATGAAGCTGATTTAAGCAACTAAAGCATACATGTCAGGTCACTGCAAGTGAATTTGCTGTAAGGAGTTAAATATTGTCCTACATATTATACATGGCACTGACTATATCTTCATGCTCCTGTAATACAGTTTTCAGTATTTTTATTGAGAATTTCCTACAAATTAAACATGACAGATTGAAAATATTTTGATGTGAATCCATTGCATGTACAGGAATTTCTGTTGACTCTGTCCTCAGTTCCAGGATTAATTTTCCAGTTTGATAATTCCAAAATTGCTGCTGCCAAGATATTGTAGATTATATCTCTTGTAGAGTAAACTGTGTGAAGCTGCAGACATTTCATTTCATTTACAATAAAGCTCTCTGAAGCTTATAATAATCTTTTGTCAGTCCGTCAGTGTGTCAAATACAAATGGTTTTCAGATGATAACATGAGTTTCCCTTGCCTTTTTGGAAAATATAGAGTAAGGGGAAAACCTATTGAATTCAGGGTCCAAGTTTAGTATTCAATGATACTAAAAATAGAAGAAAAAAAAGTTGGAAAAACTGTAACTTGAGTTTGCCTTGCTTGATTGGATCGAAAATTATACAAATGGAAAATAAAGGGAAGGAGAAGAAGTCTTTTATTTTCGGATCAACTGGTCAAATATCAAGGTCGAGTACGTACTAGTATGCAATTCTTCAATTTTTTTTATCTTAAATAAAAACTACTAGTTTTTTCCTAAAAAATAACCTGGGCTTGTGCTTCCAGACTAGGCTGGTTTAACCTGGGTCATTAGAACTACAGACACTTGTCTCTTAAATATTTTTAAAGAACATTAGGTCTGTTACTCAATACTTTTTATATTATTCAAACAGTATGTGGTATGAGAATAGGTTGTGAGGAGAATTTTCTGTTTGACATAATTCCTATAATCCTATTTTTATGCCCCTGCGGCACAGGCACAATAAATATATAGGTAAAAAAAAATTCAGAGACAAGTGCCTGTGCCCTGCGATCTGATAGGGTGATGTCTATTCCACAGTATTATATCATGGATAATATATGAACAATATTTGGTATGTGAATTTTTTGCAAGGAGTATATACTTGTCTGGCATATACATATGGCTTTCACTTTTGGTGCTTGGATGGACAGATTAAATTTCAAGATTAAGACTGTTCTTAAGAAATATAGAATAAGGAAATGTGGTATGATTACCTACCGTGAATTTGGTGTGAAGAATTTAATTCTGTCCTACATATGACACATGGCCTTGACAACATTTTCATGCTCCTGTAGCACACTTTTTAGGTTTTTTAATGTGAATTTTCTAGAAATTATACAAGACAGATTGAAAATATTTTGCATGTGAATCCATGGCATATATTGGAATTTCTATTGACCTTCCCTCAGTTACAGAATTCATTTTCCCTTTTAATAATTCAAAAATTGCAGCTGTCAAGCAATCATAGATGATATCTGGTAGAGTGATACTATCGGACAGTTTTTTCATTGATGATGAAGCTCTCTGAAATTGTTTTGGAGCATATAATAATGTTTTGTCCATCCGTGTGTGTATCCAATACTAAAGATTTCCGAGTGATAACTTGATTATCCCCTGCTTCATTGGAATGCAGCTTATGCATATGGAAGATATAGAGTAAGGGGAAAAGCTTATTGATTTTTAAAACAAAAGATCAAAGGTGAGGGTCAATAGAAAATTGGAAAAGTGGTTTCTGGATGGTAACTTCAGTTTCCTTGCTTGATTGGAAAGACAATTATACAGATAGAAAATATAGGGAAGAAGAAGAAGTCTATTGATGTTAGGTCAACTGGTAAAATGTCAAGGTCACTGTTATTAGAAATGGGGAAAATGGAAAAATTATTCCCGGATGGTAACTTGAGTTTCCCCATAGTGATTTGAATGAAACTTCTACAGAATGATGGAAGATATATGTGAGAGACAAAGCCTTATGAATATATGGTCAATTGGAAGAGGATCAAGGTTGCTGTTGCTAAAATATGATTTTTTTAAAATTGGTTCCGGGATGGTAACTATAGTTTCCTTTTTGTTTTATAATAAGACTAATATAAATGGAAGTTATAGAGAAGACTGACAGCTGCTAAAAAATGAAAATGAAGAAAAAATAATTTCAATTTGTTGTTTTCAGATGATGTTTTGAGGTACTCCTGTTGGATTTTTATCGATTGTGTCCTATTCCCTATCGATACAATTTAGTGAGTTGATTTGTATGGCGGATATTGAATTCTCAAAATACATTTATATCTTATATTTTAGATGTAAAATCTTAGACACAGTCGTGTACAAAATTGAATGATTATCAATAACATGTAATGCTTATCTTTGTAAATATGTGTAATTGGACTAAACGATAGATAAATCTTACCACAAGGAATGGCTGAAGGGATCATGGTTTTAATATTTATCCACGCACTCATATTTTTACATACAACTGAAGCAGGTAAGATTTATTTCACTACTTAAGCATATTGTCATCAAAATAACGAAATTGTTGAGTAATATACTTTGCTTTTTTGCGCAAATATTGTTATATTTAAATTAACATCAAATGTAGAATTCATTAACGTTGACCAATGTCGTGCAGTTTGGATCGAGAAGAAACTGCAGAAACTAACTTAATACTTGGTATGCAGTTGTATTTGAATTGGCACACCTCATTTTAATGAAGATTATTTGGCCCCATATCTAAGTCGTGGTTTATTGACTTTGGAACTTTTGCTTACTTTAAAATGTTAAAGTTAGTGATTAGGTCATGGTAGGTTAATGGTATTTGGTATTCAGTTGCTTTAACATTGGCACATATAATATCCATGGGGATAATATGGCTCAGGCTACTCAGTCATGGATCATAGGTTCATCGACCTTAAAACTTTTGCTTAGCTTACATGTTAAAGTTTGTATTTAGGTCAGTTTAAGGGGAACCATATATATTTAGTGAATGACATTTGGTTAACATATACACCAGCCTTTGCAGTTTATATTTCCACAAAGACTAATAGGCCCTACACATTTAGTCATGGTTAATTGACTTTGAACGTTTCCAAAGTTTACATGTTTAAGTTTTGCCATTTTTATTTCAACATTTGCATAATACTATCAAAATAAGATATTTCTGTGTCAACAGTTTATGAATACTAGGTAGGAATTAGCAAGAGCCATACAGAAACACTTTGATACCTCATGTTACAATACATCTTCTTTATTTGCTACATATGTGTTCATTTGCTACATATGACTGTGTTCGTTTGCTTCACCTTGTTCATTTTTTACATATGCATTCATTTGTAGAGCCAAGTCTTGAATCTAGGTTATTGTCCACCAATATAAGATAGTGTATAGGGATTATAAAACAAATCAAGTATATTTTCACTCTAATTTCCAGCGACCATTACTACAGCATCAAGTTCTTTAACAGAGATTCCAAGAGAAGCAAGTATGTTTTTTTTTCTCTCTTTACAATAGAAATTTTCGAGAAAAACAATCTAAATGTATAAGTTTATTATAATTAATTATGTAATTCATTGATTAATTCATGTACACAATCAGTTTATGTTGATTAATGATTATGTAAAACAATATTGTTTTATCCCGAAGAACTTTTCGTATTTTCGTTTCTGTTTTACTTAGAAAATATACATGTTCATATGCATTCATGTTTAGAGTCATTTTTTTTTCTTCAATTCAGCCTATTGCCCAACAACATGAGATAGTGTAGAGAGCTAATAAAGCAAATCAAATATATTTATGATAATTAATTGAGCAAATTATTTATTAATATATATAAGTGGACATACCCAGTTCATGTCCATACATTATAAAAAAACGTTCTTTTTCCCGAGAAATTTTTGTTTTAGGCTTTCTATTCGGTCCTGTTTTAAGGGTAGAAAATTTACATGTACTGATGATTGATGAATTTGGTAATGCCATATAGAGGTTAGAAAGGTCGAGAGCTCTACAAATCTATGGTATGAAACATGGTTAACGATTGGTAGAGCACTAACTGCTTTAACCCTTCCGGAGAAACTGTTTTGTCTCTCTCTTATATGTACAAAAGTTATCTGTCGAGTGTTTTATGTACTGGTGTGTGTGTGTGTTTTCGTTTTTCTGTACTATGGTGTTGTTTTCTCTGTTCAATTTACGTTTTTTCTTTGGTTGCCCCCTTGGTATTTCCTTATTTAGGTTTAATTACGCAATGTTACTTAAATTAGTTGTACTATTTTCCTTAAGGGGCATTTGCTGCCAAATTCATTACCACCAAATTGACTCAAACTTTTTAATTTGATTTATGACATACTAATATATTGCCAGAATTACAATAACTTCAGTAGAAAACAATAATTAATGCATGACAATAAAAAGATATCGGCATTTCGTGCTTAGTTTAGGACTAAACGCCATCTATTGAGCCATCCCGAAGACTGTCGATGAACATGTGACCCGATATAAACATGAATATGATTGTAGAAGTAGACACATGAATTGTTCTATGTCTCATTGCTTTTGTGTCATAGATTAAACAATTTGTAAATCATCGTTTCACCTGTATAAGAATAAATGTTTGTGGACCGAAGCAGTCTTTTTATTCAATAAACAGGCTGAGCACATGTATAACCAATCTCCATCTAAGGGTATAAAACAAATATGATATACAGCAACACATGACAACCGCTATATTTTCTTATTTCAGTATGTACTTCAATATGATCAAGTTGCTTGAAAAATCTCTAGTGACTTGTTCCTTTAGTATACACCAAGCAAGAATCGTTTGTTTGCTTGTACCAAGACTTCTTTGAACTGATATCAATATCTACCTTTTATTTGGTAAAAGAAATTGATTCAGGAGAGTTTATATTACTTATTTATAATTTTCATTTAGAATTCCTGTATATGTTTGTCGTCAGTTTAGTTCATTTGGGAAAAATATTACTACAGTTTGTTCATTTAGCAGTTTCTTCTTTTATTTTTTACTTCCAGTTTTCTCTAATACAGTATCAAGTACCTCGACAGCCTTGCCTAGTTAGTGTTTCTAAGCATATTCTTAAAAACATATTTTAATGTATTCAAATATATTATGTTTAAACATCACACATTTTAAAACTTAATAACTTAGCAGCATGTTCTTTTCACAATAACAAATACCACACATTTTCTCGTTGTAAAAAAAAATACCAACATGAAAAGTTTACAAATAGAGGGTGATAAGAAAACATGTCGGCATAGTTTGAAACTCTGCTCAGAATATTTGCACATATACACATTTATTTACATTTTAAACATACATTGTCAAATTTACATAGATAAATATAACCAGTCAAAAAAGACACAATGGGAAAAAACCCACAGACAAACAACTGTCCATATAACACTAGAGTGTACAACCCAAACCGGGCCAAAATCAGGGTTATCATTTGAACTTCATATCAGAAAGTCATTTTATGGTTGATTTTAAAAACTAAAACAGTTAAGAACATCAAATGTTCGAATCAAAGTTATGATGCATTATAATACTAATGATCGAAAACAACTGGTCTAATATTGTTTGAACAAATAATATGATAGAACCGTTTAACGTTAGTAATATTGAAACTTAAACACATCTTGGACACAAAGAAATAAGAAAGAGTTTGCGATATTGTAATACAAAATTTCGGTGATTTTATATTGTTAGATGACAAAATGTTTTCTAATCATCATTTGAATATTACAGAGTGCCATGAAAAAATAGATTTAGTGTTTCTTATCGATGCTTCTGGATCAATTGGATCTGCCAATTTTAGAAAGATAAAGAGTTTCGTTTCGAATTCCGTCTCTCACTTTATGATTGGACCGAACGATGCACAAGTTGGTGCTATTACATTTTCTTCTCAACCTCATTTTCAATTTGCATTAAACAAGTACAAAGATAAGAGTTCTCTGAGCAATGCCATTCAGAATATCCCCTATCAGTCAGGTGGTACAAACACTGATACAGCACTGACTTTTGTTGAGAAAAACACGTTCACCGCGGCTTCTGGGGACAGGATTGGTGCTCAAGACATTCTAGTAATTATTACTGATGGTAAATCGTCCCACCCTCCGCAAACTGCTCTTGAGGCAAATCGACTTAAGCAAAGAAACGTTCAGATCATTGTAGTTGGAATTGGCAATGCAGACAAAGCAGAACTAAACAAAATGGCTTCAGATCCATCCTACGTTTTATATGCAACTGATTTTGACTCGTTGAGTCATATATATGACGCAATACACTCAATCGCCTGCAATTTAGGTAATTTTTTTTTATTGAGAAGATCATTTTTACTGAATCAATGTTATATTGCGTATTCATGAAAAATTATTTTCATCAGAACAAAATAGTAAAAAATGTAGGAACGTTTCAATTTCAAGAGTGAAAGTATATCTTAAAGTTGTCGCAAGAAAAAAATATAAATAGAAACTGTGTGACTATGAAAGAAGATCAAGTGCATATATACCTTCTCATTGTTACGATACATCCTACACACTACTACAAAAAAACTCATTAAAGATACCAGGCATATAAAAAGTGACCGACGAAATGTATCACATGACTTGCGAAACTATATATCATATAGCCTAGTGGACGAGGGGTATAGGGTGATGGACATCAATGATGTTTCAAAATCACGTCGCAAAACTTCATGTCTTGAGTTCGAATCCCGCTGAAGGAATGACGTTATTTGCAAATGAGTTTTTATAAACATTGTTGGTCTGAATTGAAGACGTTTTCATATAAGACCATTTTCATGCTATATCAATAGATTTGAATATACTTGACCAAAAAATAATTAAAAACATACATAATTATACCTAATTCTGTATATTGACAAGATCTAAAGTTCAACTACTGTTCTTCTATTTCTTTCTCGTGCTTAGTTGTAGCTGTCGAAAGATTATTCTTCAACTTCGTACTTTTTTTGGCCTTTTTAACTTTTTTTGATTCGAGCGTCGCTGATGAATCTTTTGTAGAAAAAAACGCGCGTCTGGCGTACACAATTTTAATCCTGGTATCTATGATGAGTTTATTGCTTAATGTTTGTATTGTTCCTGCATATATCAACGAAATTATCGATCTCTGTCTGTCAAATCATGTTATTTGGTGATATTACGCGCATCTGTGTTCACCTATGTTCAGAAATGTTATCGACATTAAGCAAAGATTCCCACTCAAATTGTTGATAGGGACCGTCTCGAACTTGCAATTAGATGTTTTAGAGAAGTGGTGAAGGCCTCCCTGTAACGCTGTGAAATCCAAGACATATCAACTGAACTGAAATAATTTGTATACATAAAATTCAAAAGGAAATCAAACATTGACATGTGAAACATCTTGGCAGAATGTTATAGTTGATCTTATCTTAGACATTAATGATATTTTCGAAAAGAATAAAAATGTATGTATATCTATGTATTTATTCTCTCTTTTATTGTTTTGCCTCCATGTTCCTAATTGAAAACATTTTTCGTGATTCCAGTTGATTTGTCTCTCTAGTGCTTGTTGTTCTCTGATTTATAGCATGATTCATTCGGCACATCTATTTATCATAATTGACATAACTATCTACACTTTTTTGTTCTGCCATTTTGATACTTATTACTCCCATAACAATTTTGAACAATTTAATCAGGCCTAATTAATTGTTATAATTATTTTTTATTCTTTTTTAAGTCTTTACAACACAAACACCTCCAACAACAACGACATGTAAGTTATAATTTGATTTGTTTTTCGAATCTTTAGCAACAAGACGGATGCCACTAGTAGAGCAAGATATGTTTTCCCTTCCTGAGCACCAGAGATCACCCTCGGTGTTTGTGTTTGTGTTTGTTGGGGTTGCCCAATGTTTGTTTTTATGTATTGTTTTGTGGATTTATTTGTCTTTTCGTCGTCCTTCGTTTTCTGCCACATGCATTGTCAGTATCCCTTCGACTTATGAGTTTTAAATGTCCGTTTGGTATCGTAAACGTAATATATGATATAGTTAAACTCGAATTATTTCGTTAAAACAAAACAATACAAACCTGATCATAACACAATACAACTGGTTTATGTTATAAAAACTTCAACAGTTATAAAATCAAACCATTCATTATAAAAAGAATAAAAAAAGAAGGTCCCCACTCTCTTTAAAAAAAACAAAAAAACAAACTTTTAGACTTATTCAAAATTAATTTTTTTAAATTTTGTTGAACATTTTAAACTTTTTGTTGTATTCAACTTACGCACAATGGAGTCTTCCTGTATTGTTTAAAATATTTCTGTGTGAAATCTACTTCGAAGGATAATCCAAAACATACGAGGAAAAATGAAAGAATTTCATATCAGTAATCAGTAACTGCGAAAATTCTCTGATACGATATTGTTAATAATTGAAAGGGTTAAGATAAAAAAAATAGTTAATGCCAACCACATTATTTCGTGCTTGTCCCAAATTAAAAACTTCTTCAGTGGTTTCGTATTTCGCATGTCTTTCTGTATTGTTACAAAATATTTTATTTCAGTATTGACGCCACCGTTCATTCCGGCAGGTCTGTACATAGTTTTATTTAAATAGTAACGTATCATCTTTTCTACAGCATTTCAGTTTCAAGAATTTTATAAGAATAATAGTAGGGAAAAACGGGCAAAACAATAAAGAGTTGAGAAAAATGGGCAAATAAGGAATTGAGAAACATAGGCTAAAAATAAAGACGAGAGAAAAATTGTCATAATAAAATTAAAGTTCTCCTTTTTAAACTCTCATAGAAGATACCAATGTGATCAAAAATGGAAATCCAAAAGATACCACATGAACAAGTCAAACATGAAAAGCTGTACATGAATCGTAAACGCAATACAAATTGAACAGTCTCCTGAATTTCTTTATGTAACTGGTTTGATTCTAAATTCAGTCAATTTTGATAGCACTTTCACAAAACTTTAACATGAAACAAAGTCTGATTGCTTTTTATACATTTTGAATTAGTACTTCTGTTTTTCCAATGTTAAATATAAACCGAAAAACAACAGTCCATAACACACTATAAAGGGATCATTTTGCCAGAATTATTAATTGCTTTTGAATTCCGTTAAGATGAGACTGCTCTTACAATTGAAAAAAAGATATTATACCTTTTCATCCTATTAATTGCATTATTTGTAGGTAGTACATTGCTTGCTTAGTGTATTAAAACATCGATTTACCTTCGAGCATAACCCATTTTATACCGATATAGCCATACATATAATGATTATCCATTTGTATTGAACAAATATGATTCTATACAAAATAAATTTTTGGTACTATCCATATTGTTTGTAATGTTCTGTCTTTTTTCAATCCAGTGAGACATAATTTACATCAGATAGATAAAACGATAAAAAAAAATAATCCTAAAAATTTTTGAATCATAAGAAAACCTTGTAGACCTTTTATTTGTGTAACAATAGTCGACTACATCGTGCATTTGCTATAATGCTCTTTACACAGGCCCTTGTATTGACGAAGTTGCCAACTGTAACCAATATGGGGTAACAATATGTCACGGATCTTACAAGCCATGGGCATCGGCAAACTGTGCACATTACTGTGAATTCTGCCACGGTAAGTACAAAATCAAACATCCAGTTACTAATATTTTCATTTATCATTATCATTTCCGCTTTTTAGGCTAGAACATGTCTCTCGATAACCCAGACAATCAGAATTTCAAGACAAGAAAAGTTTAATAATGACAAAGGAGAAAAAGCAAATAGACAGACTGAAATAAAAAGAACAAAAGCGATCTTATTAAATAGACATAACACAGACAACCAACAAAAATAAAATTAAAATTAAAATTAACAACACACACTAAGTAAAAGCAGAAAAGATAACGTTTGTTAACTTTTCGGTTAGTATTGGTTAAAAATGAAAAATAATACATTAATGGTATTTCAGTATCTTTGAAGCATCATACTAGTAAAAAAAAATCCTGCATATTTACAAAAAACTTCACTCCATAGAAATGGAAAGTTTACAAAGGAAACTTTCAATTATCGTCCTTTATAAAAAAAAAAAGGCACCTTTTTTTAAAGCATTATTCCCGACGTAGGGGTATGTTCAAGGTCATTTTCACAACACACAAATTAGTTGACAACCATATAATGAATTTCTTGTTGCATTAAAATGCTAGTATTCGATAACGCAGGCAAAAAATAGTTTTTAAAGCATGATTTCGCCATCTCGAATGGGTCAATATCGTAGGTAACTAGAAACACTATCGTCCAGTATTGTTATATGACATTATTACTTGTTCGTTATGTTCTATCTTTGACACTTGATACTGAACATGATTTTAAAATAATTAGATGGATGATGCCTGCATAACAAGAGAATTATGCATATCCTGTCTATGCACCAGTCATTCTGGAATTCTTCTCTTTTTGATTGGTTTGGTTCTCATGTTTGCAATTTCGCCTTCAAAACTTTGATGATACAAATGACGTTAATTTTTACAATTTTTGTTAATTATGTTTTAAAGATGAAAATTGCAACCTTACGTCTCACATAATTCTAATAATCAACTTCTACTGGTATTAATTTGTAATATTTCAGAAGTGGAAGTTGTGCTTTCAGTTGTCTTGTTACTAGTTTTATGATGGTCTGAAATAAAAAGAAACAAAAAAATTATTCCAAAAAACATTTTGAAATAGGATTTCAACGCGACATTGAACATGTGTCATAGCAATCATTCATTGGTTCAAAATAGAATCATTATATATTGGTGTTCACTTGCTAGATGATATTTTCATCAATAATAATTTAAGACACATTATTACTGATTCGTTAATGTTCATTAAGGAAGTTTTTAAAAAAAAAATTGGTGACAGCTGGTAGGTTTGGGAAATTTGTCGACGTGAAACATTTAAAAAAAACCACACAGTACGAGTTTTTGAATGAAACGGATGAGATTTACTTTGACCCTAATGCCTCTAACTTTTGACTCAAACCTCAAGTCAAATGCACACATTTTTATCATCCAACAGCTTGCAATGAAGTTTTACTGCCACTTACAACTTTTTACAGGAATACTATAGCAGTGATTAATTTTATCCAGTTTGCATCTTTATGACTAAAAGCATTGCAGTTTTTCAGTATGTATAATAGAGAATCGGATTGAAAGCTACAATTCAAGAACATTTTGAAGTTTGAGTTTGTTACCTGTCTCATGTTGAGATGTCAGATGGTAATACTAGCGATTGTATTGTTTGTACAATGTCTAATCATGGGAAATTCCTGTCGTTTTAACTTTCATATGGATGTTTAGCTCTTTCTCAATTGTATAAGGTCAGTCAATTTTTGGAGAGAAAAGAAAACTTAAAGAATTTTATACCAATTTGTTACGTTATTTGCTTGTTTGTATGACATCATAAACTAGTAGTTAATATGAAATGTTTCTTTATTAATTTCAGAGTCACCTGGTGCCACTTTACCCACATTTGCACCCGTAATTGGAAAGTAGAAAATTCAGTAAAGTCGAAAAGAGTTGTGAATATTTTCAAATAAATAGTTTCGATTACTTTTTTATATTTATTTTCAACATTGAACCTAAAACATCAACTACAGCTCTACGTTTTGGTATCAAGTTAAGTTTCTGTCAAGCCGATCTTCCAGACAATAGCATGGTGCCGTTAATGATTTAGTGCAGTCACTCTCATTTTCACCACCAGTATATCATTTAGTTTTCAAATATATATGTATATTGGCCACTCAATACGAAAGGGTACAAAAAGTGTTTTTGATAAACTTAACGGGACACGTTGTTCAAGTTCGTTAAAATATTTTTGAAAAACGATTTTATCCGTAAAAATGGGTATTATAAACATTCTTTAAATGGTCAATGTTGTCTCGATTTTGTCACTAAAACGAAAAGACGCAGAGGGATGTAAACACTGAAAATGTGTGTATAGCTTACATCTTAATTATATGAGGAAAAGTGACGGTGTTTTGTTGATCACAAGTCTGCTTCCAATACTTATGAACACTTTTTAGAAATTAATTTAGTTTTCGTTTTTGTACCTTTTTGCACGGACTGGCCCATATACGAAATGGCATCAAATGTAACCCAATTTTCTTTGAAATTATTATAGTGAATATGAAGATGTTCGATGTCATGAATTATTTGTTTCCTGAGGGAATCCGATCTCCTAAACATGATATGATTTCTGTCGAATTATGAGCAAATTTAAACTTAATGTTGTGTGCACCAATGCAATATTCGAATCTTATCTATGGTTATACACTAATAAGTAGTTAAATATCAAGTTTAAATATTACTTGGAGGAAATTAGCTTTCAAGAACCAATTGTACATTTGGGTCCTCGATTAAGTTTCTTATCTTTGAATCCTTAATTTAACATTCATTTTCTCAGCACTAGCATACCCTATGTCCCATCCTATAACGTTTAAATATCTCACACGTATTAACACGATGTGCTCGCGCATATTCACAATATACGGACTTCATTAGCAGGGGGCGAAGAAGAAAGATTGAAATCGAAACTACATAAGTTTTACGGTCACCATCACTAATTGGTTGACCGATTAGGTCTGAATTCAATAGCAAAATGCTTTCGTAGTCTTAGATCGTTGAATACCAGAAAAGTCATGGTATCTGTAATTTTACCAATTCTGTTCTATACCCAATTGTTACATTTTGACTTCATGTGGACTGGCACGGCGGACAATGCATGTATGTCAAAAGACGTTTACCCTGTCGATGTACCCGGTGTCGCTACATTTAGAGTTCATGCGATTATTACCTCACTTCTTTGTTAATTGGATTGTCTTCTTAATCGATTTCCGAGAGATTTGAACATCTGTTAACCACTGTTGCCTTAATCCTTAACTTGTCATGAGGAACAAGACAGGTACAACTAGAAAAGCAAGAAATTCCAGAGCACATTAGTTAACCCTTGGTATTTTCATGTTAGAGTACGTGTAGCTCAATCTCTATTTAGTGTTTTATTGGCTGTTGTTTGTCAGTTTATGATGTTCTGATGTCTCAAACAAGAGACTTGAATAGGTCCATTGGTGCAAAATAGTCTATCTTTTAAATCTACAATTTGGCTTGTTTAGAAGCTAGATTCCGGATATGGATTTGTAATCGATAGAAAGGTGATACATGCAAAGCCTTAGATGCTTATTTTGTCGAGTCACCTGGGTCACTCTGTCCGGGGTGATTTTATTCCCTTAGTGATTGTATTCCCCTATATATGCTGTCACACCGATTGTTTTCTGTACATAAACGTATTATTAGAAGTGACTTCGATGTAATTTCTTCATATCTTTAAACACATTAACAAAATGGATTGTTATACACTTTGTGTTAAGTTGAATTCATGCATTGTTGCACTGTGCATGCTCTGTATTATTGTAATTGCTATATAATGTAAAGGAAAAGACTTCATAAGTTGATCAAACTTGTGTCCGATCCTATTTGTCTCTTTGAGCAATCAAAATCGGAAATAAACTAAACTCACTGATTTCGTTAGAGTTACGAAATGTGTTCTGAACTTTGACTTTTGGGTTATTTCGGTTGTTTATTACCATATAGATTTCCATGAAACAAGTTTTCCATAGTTCCCTTTAAATCTCTTCTTGACACGAGAAAACAGAATACACGGACTGCTTACGAAATCGACAGTGTTTTCCAAGGTAACTCCGGACGAAGGATTGAGCATTTTCATCCAAAGAAGGTGTTTTTATGACAGTATTTCTTATCTGTCAATTGGACCAATCACACAAAAAGTGAACTAATTTTAAACGTTAATATTTTACACCATAAACGTAAAAAATACATTCTTTTCAATTTTTCATGTAAATTAGGATGTCGGATTTCGGATTTTATTTTTTAAGTACAACTTAAAAGAAAGATATCCTTATTGTACAATTTTATGTAGTTAATGTATAACGGAGTTTCCCCATGTTATTACCCGAAAAATATGAAATATGGAATATCGAAAAATAGTATTTAATTTTCACCATACTCGTGCTACAATTTTTCTCTTAGATGCATGGAAGGGAACTGATAAATGGGTACTGATAATTTTTCAGGGAAAATTCCATTAAAAAGGTTAACTTCTATATGTTCCACATACATTATTTAAAAAAAAGTGTCTCGGTAAATTCTATCGACATCCCACGATTTGACTTTCGGCATTACTCCTCTGATTAATAGCATAAGCGGTTTCAATTTTACTGCACCAGATGCACATTTCGATAATTAATGTCTCTTCAGTGATGCTCGAGGCCAAAAATTTGAATATAAAAAAACTAATACAAATTTTGAAGAGTTAATCAAACTAAAAGGGAACTAAAGTATAGCCAAATCCGGACAAGGAATCAGAGCTTTGCATGAGGGAGATATGTTCCTTAATTCAAAATGATTTTCAAAATTTTATAACATCAAATTTCAATCAAAACAATATCCGGAGTTTCATGTTAGTACCGAAGTACAGGCTACTGGGCTGGTGATACCCTTGGGTACTAACAGTCCACCAATCAATGGTATCGACCCAGTGGTAGTAATAACATAAACGGTACCAATTTTACTGCACCAGATGCGCATTTCGACAATTAATGTCTCTTCAGTGATGTTTGAGGCAAAATATTTGAATTTCCAAAAACTAATACAACAGCTTATCAAACATAAAAAGATCTAAAGTATATTAAGACGCGACAATGTAGCGCCATGCATCTCTTTAACAAACAAATTACTAAAAATTAGTTGAATGTATATTGTAACAGTAAAAATATTCACAAAATCAAATAAAGTAGAAATCGCATCGGTAACTTTGTATTCTGCCTTTGACCTTAGAATACTTATAATCAACACTGATTATTTCATGAATAACTAGGTCATTGTTGTTGAGATAAAAGTTTCTCTCTAAAATGGCTGGAAAATTGTTTCTTTTGGTATTCCTATTGTTCCTTTATTTTAGCTTCTGCATGTGTGGTGAGTACATTTTGATTGGAGGATGAAGTGTTGTAAACTAAGACTAAAAGTTATGGAAAAAACAAATACTAGTATTTGAAGATGTAAATAGTTTTCTCTTTAGGTCTTGAGTTACCTCTTTGTTAATTAAAATGGTAACCGCCAAATTCAGTCCCACCGAATTGACTCAAACATTTTAATTTGATTTAAGACATTACACAGTCATAGACTTGGTTTGAGGTCAGCATTTATCTGTTTAACCCGAATGCTGAACTGTTGCCCAAAGCCGAAGACCGACGGCAACAGTTCAGTCTGAGGTCTAATATACAACGGTCTTATGTGGTATGATTGCCAATGAGATAACTATTCACCTAAGTTCAAATAAAGTGGATGTAAGCAATTACGGGCCTTCAACAATGAGAAAAACCCATACCGTATAGTCGGCTATAAAAGGCCCCGACATGAAAATGTGACATAATTCAAATTAGAAAACAAACGGCCTAATTTATAACAAAACAATTTGAGAAAAACAAATATGACAGACATGAACTAACGACAACCACTGAACTACAGGCTCCTAACTTGGAACAGGCACATACAGAATGTGGCGAGGATAAATTTGTCTGCTGGCTCCAAATCCTACCCTTACCTGGGACAGCGGTATATCATTACAACATAAGAACAAGCTATAAAAAATAGATAAAAAGGGCTTAACTCATCAGATCGATACCAAGCATAAAACATCTAACGTAAAAACACAGATCGCACGTGGAAGCGTATCTATACATCCCTAACAAAAAAGACACCAAGTAAAGATCTGAGAGTACTTGCAGTTACTGACAGCTAGTTCAAAGCCAATATCAACTAATACGAAATGATGTATCTAAGACTAAAATATCAATCAGTACACATTCAACATCCAATGGATTTGGTGTAAAGACGTCATTAACAGTCAAAAATAACCTTGTGCAGTGTCAAAATATAGGTATCGACAGTTCGTAGTACCGTGAATGTGCATATGTGTTTAACAATAATATTTAGTATGGTTTTAATTTAACGATAACAAAATCAATATCTATACCAATAAAAACAACATTCAAAGATCTAATTACAGTGTTGAATAGGTAACCCGATATCTTATCACATTAATAGGAGCAATGCAACATATGTAAACACAGCAAACTAGTTTGTCGAATGTTTGATATGAAAGCGATTAATTCCATATACTAACCAGTCAAGAATCCAATACAGAAACAGCCAATTCATAACACTTTATACAATGATTATAGCTCTTCAAGTCAACTTTGAAACTTAACGTTGGGCGGTTCAAGAAATCCTATTTGAAAAAAAAATCTCTCATTGAGGATATATTTCATTGCGACTACAATCTAAAAGCAAAAAAATAAGAACACAAAAACACAAATAACAACGTGACTGTATGAACGTTTTTTACTTGTATATGGAATTAATCGCTTTCATATCAAACATGCACTCAAGCATCATTCAACAAACTAGTTGTGATTACATATGTTGCACAACGCTCCTATTTAAAATGTGAATAAAAAGATATCGAGTATACAATCTGAGTAAAATACAGATCATCTGTCCACGCTTCGCTTACAGGGATAAATTTTATATCAACCAATGAAATTTCTGCATCCAAATTTTTGAAGGAATGTATCATTACGACAAAACCAGAGGATCCCGAAAAGTCGTTAAAACAGAAAGCAGAAAGGAGCATTTTCAAATCCTTATAAGCGAAGCGTGGACACATGATCTATATGTTATTCAAATTGATGGGAATACGTCGGTGAGAAAGTAAACACAAAAACCCAAACGATATATATGTAGACACTGATAACACTTTATTTAAAAAATAGCATGTCAACTGATGAAAAAACTTTCCGTCTGTACATTTCAGCTTGTCATGACAAAGTAGACTTGGTGTTTCTGGTTGATTCATCCGGTTCTGTTGGATCGAGCAATTTCATCAAAGTGAAGAATTTTGTTACAAGTTCCGTAACTAGGTTTATCATAGGAAATAGAGATACACTCGTCAGTGTTGTTACATTTTCATCTTTGCCCAATGAAGAGTTTAAGTTAAATTCTTTCCATGATAAGTTGTCATTGTCGAATGCTATTCAGGGAATAAGATATAACAGCGGTGGTACAAATACCGGCGATGCCCTTAAATTTGTTGGCAGCAATATTTTTCAACCTTCCTCTGGAGATAGAATCAATGCAAGGAACATACTTGTGGTAATCACAGATGGAAGATCTAATAACCATTTATCCACTATTGCACAAGCCAATCATTTAAAGAACAATAATATACTGATCATTGCAGTTGGAATCGGCAGCGGCATTTCTAAATCTGAACTTGACGGAATGGCTTCCGGTCCGTCATACGTTCTACATGTTGAAGATTTCAATGCATTAAGTCATATTTACGATTCAATCCACTCGATTGCTTGCATATCTGGTAAGACTTTCTTAACTTTATTATTCTTAAATCAGAAGTTTCAAGATAGAGACAAATATGTCGCATAACAAATTACATACGTCAGTGTCGGTCCTTTGAAGTTATGTAATAACGCAACGCTTACTTTACCATTTTTTTAAAGTCTGGCACAGTCGAGATTAAAAAAAGTAAAACACTAATTATGTTCTTGAAATTTTTATTTTACTTTCTCATTAACGGTTTCTCTTCTTTGTTCTCAAGTAACCACCATACATCCCACTTTAAAACCAGCAACAACTACAACAGCTGCTCCAACTACAACTACAACAGATGAACCAACAACAACAATGACAACAAGTAAGTTGTGATTAATAATAAACCGTAAATAATAATTATCATTTGCTGTTTCTGGAATTGGCAGAGGAATCGAGTCCTTTCAATTAATTATGGTATGAATTCCATAAACACTCACTTGCGTTTGAATCCATTAATTTCAAAATAAATATATTACTACTATATATTATCATTTTAGGAACTTGCAATGATGTCATACCAAATTGTAAGCAGTATGGTCCAACGGTGTGTGAAGGAACTTACACACTATGGGCATCCAGAAATTGTGCATATTATTGTAACTTATGTAATGGTAATTATTGTAAAAATACTTGATTTGCTGCACACGAAACGTATCGTTATATTGGGTTTATATATGTACGCCAAAATTCATACATTATAAATAACATTGATATAAAAATAATCAGCAAATATATACATCCAGTACAGCTAAACGAACGCCCGACTTTTGTAAGGGTTTTACTACTGGTTGAACGAAGACCAAAGTGACTACATTTCTATACCCCAGCCATCCTTGGGGTGTTCAAAGAAAGAAAAGTTAGAGCTCTGAACTGATGAAACAAAACATTTACAAGCGGTAGACATTACAAACATTAAATTTCAATTATTAAGTGATCAGTTAAGTATAGGCTTGAATGAACCGGCTTCATCATATTCATAAGCCGTTAAACATGAAAAAACTATTTTCAAGATCAACACATTTGGCTTTGACATGTGCCTCCCGGGAGAAACATTGGAATCGCATGCACAGAAGGAGTGCCCAGTTTGTCGACTCACCTAGTTTCCCCTCATTTGAAAAATATGGATAAAAGATTCCTGTATTAACCTTCGTGGTTTTTAAGTCTTTAAATAATCATTTCAATCGACCTTTGTATACTACATGTATATTTAAAACACCAATAACAAATTGAAGGGGCTAATAAGACAACCGTTTATAAGTGGAAGTCCATGATTTAAAAAAAGCTGTATTTGTTTGGTAAAGTTGATACCTGACAAGAGTTGTATATTGTTGAATGCTTTACTGGTAAAGTCTACAAATGTCAAACAAGTCAATATCAATGTAAAATGTATGTTGTATTATGACACAACTGATAACTGTTACGGATATATACAATAAATAGCATATGGGTGGAGAAATTATCAAGTTTTTTTGTTTTATTTTCATTTTAACTGATAGCCCGGGGTAAATAATGATTTGTTGATTTTAAGTAAACTAATTTTTCTTATTTTTTTTTTTGCAGCTCAACCAACAATATTGGCCATCATTGGAAAGTAGAGTATAACCGAAATATTAAAGTTTACAATTCAAGTATTTCATCCTTTATAGTTAAATCATATTATTGATGTGAATGTTCAAAAAGGATAACATTCAATAAGGTGGTCTATATAAGTAAAACAAAGAAGAGGAATTACTAAAACTGAAAGAACAAGAACGATGGATATTGTTCAAATGCACAAAAGATAACTCAGATCATTGTAATTTTATACAAACAGATAAAAAATATATATAAAAAACCACATGCATTTCTTCAAAACATAGTAGTGAGAATTCCTCAATGAAAAGATTAAATAAGAATTAATAACCAATTGTTCAGATCTCCCACCTTTGAAATAAGAAAAGGGAAATAAGTAGCGACTTTCTGCTTACTCCAAGTAACTTCCAGCGTCAAATAATATTTAACTTAACGCTGATTAAAAAAAAATTAAATGGTATCTATATACTTTGCCTGAAATATGGAAGATAATGTCTTCCGTTTTACAAAATGTCAACCTTCCGGGACACCTGAGATCACCCCCGGTTTTTGGTGTGGTTCGTGTTACTCAGTCTTTCATTTTCTATGTTGTGTAATGAACATTGTTGTTTGTCTTTTAGTCATTTTTGCTTTTTTTGACATGGTGTTGTCAGTTTATTTTCGACTTACGAGTTTGAATATCCCTTTGGTATCTTTCGACTCTCTTCTACAGGTTACTTATGATAGCTTCCTTTACACTGATTCCATAAATATAATAGTTTATGTTCTTTTTCCCTGAAATAAGGAAGGTAATTTGTAATTTCCTATCTATATAATGCCATTTCCGTCATATGATAGGTTATGATATGCCGATTCCAAACTAATATACTTTATATGTCCTTTTCCTTGATATGATTACAGAAATAGCTCGCTCCGGTATTCACAAGGTCACTTCCGGTTTTTTTTTTTTCAATGTTATATGTCATCCAACCTTTTGCAAAAGACTTTATGGCTTTATTTGTGTGAAGTTATAACCAGTTAATGTTGAATTGAATCACTTTAGGGGCAATAACTCCTATAAGATGTCATTGTATTGCTTCGGACCAAATATATCATACATTCATCCTAATTATCTTAACATTTTGTTTAAGTTCTTTTACATCTATATTCTATCGTTTCAGAGGAGATGCCACAAAAAAAAGATCAAAACTAAGATTATTAACTTAACCTTGACCTTATTTTTTAAGATATGGTCTATTGATCTCAAATCATAATACCATTGACGTTTATAGCATAAGGTTTTACGAGTTACACTAACATAAGGAAATGCCTGTACCAAGTCAGGAATATGACAGTTGTTTTTCATTCGTTTGATGTGTTTGAGCTTTTGATTTTGCCATTTGATAAGGGTCTTTCCGATTTGAATTATCCTTGGAGTTCGGTATTTTTTTCATTTTACTTTATACCGCTTTGACAAAAAGTGATGGGTTCATAACTGCTTTTTAGATGTCACCGGACCAAAAAGCTTCCTAACTTTAAAACAAACATATTTATTTTTAATAACTCTTTTTGTTTCGAAGGAGATGCGCATACAAAAAAAAGAGCGTTAGGGAAGATAGCTCTTACAAAGAAAAGTGTTCGGTTACATGCTGTGAGTTTTGAAATCGCAATAACTGTTCGGTATCATAAACTAAAAATGGTACTGCCATAATGCGGTAAAAATACAGCGCAAGAAAGAGATGATTAGTAGATAAAAAAAAAATCAGAATAAAATCAAAAGGTCTTTCATCAGAAATGTCAAACACCTAATAATTTGAACCAAAACATAACGCATCATCCGTAATTAAAGAACATTTGCAGGTATGATAATTAAATATTTTTGTTTTAAATTCCTAATTCATAGTAATTAAAGCAAAGATTGATTAGCCAAATTCGCCAAAAAATGCATGCACCACCCGAGTAAACAATCTCATAATAGGAATAAGACACAATAAGGAATAGGGCAAAGTTTGGACAAGGACACAATAAGAAATAGGACACAATCGGTAAGAACCCCACAAGAAGTATGATAAGAGTCATTATTTGACCCTTGAAAATTGCAAAATTTATTAAATTATTGAAGCCTATCAAATGCATGTTAATTTAATTGATTTATGTACAGCTTGATATATTCTGGACTCGTAAGTGCAGAAAGGTCACTTGTGGTATCACTATAACATTACAAACATGTCGTAATTGACATATTTGACCCATGTTTTGGCTAAAGTATTTAGTCATATATAACTAATAATGACAAGATGCTATTTTGGCAGCTTTTGTGGGGAAATTTGGGTCCCCAATGCTCTTCAACTTCGTGCTTTATTTGACCGTTTTTACTTTTTTATTCGAGGGACACTGATGAGTCTTTTTTTAGACGAAACGCGTGTCTGGTGAACAAAACTTAAAGCCTGGTATATATGATGAGTTTATTAGCAGATTTATACTACTTTGTAATATTGAAATTGAGATCCGGGGGGTGAGTGGCATTTTCATACATTCGAACATGGAATTCACAGCAAACCTGGGAATCCTTCATATACCCTTACATCATTCACAAAAAATCACAAATCTGTCCTTCTCTCTCCTTTGGTATGAACATAAAAAATGAAAATATCCAATCTTTATACTTGATACCAAACTTCTCAAAAATCGAAAGACATATAGCCGGGTCGTCAAGATGTTCGACTAAACATTTTTCTAAAGTTGTTACCACTATTCTTTCTACAGAAAAAGGCCAGCAACGTTAGGCAACCGACTCCTCCGACAAAATGATTGAAATAAACAATACTTGTTTCATTTGAACAGGTCAGGAACTCTAGATTTCCTGACGTCAGTATATATTCGCATAGTTTTCCAAATAGAAGTGGGACATTTAAAGACGTATCGTATCCGTATCTGATACGTTGACGTATCTGAACGTATCTATGGGTTATTGTTTAAATGATCATTTACGTGTTTAAATAGTACATGTATATGTGTTTTTCTATGTTAGATATCTTTCGGTCATTAATACACTCTTTTTATGACATGATGTTTTTAATTTATGAATAATCGTATATATCTAGACAAAAGATATTTAAATCGTCATCATTTTCAGGCGTGAATTTTAATAATAATGCAAATGTAGTTAATGATCGAGTCAAAATCGTGGTAGAGATTTCGAGAATAGGGAAAAGCGGGGAAATATAAGGAAAGGGTGATGCAGATTTTTTCGGTCTCTTTCAGTTTAAATATTTGGGAAAAAAAGTATTGCCTGCCAATTTACAAGTTTATTATTATTGGTATAAGTAATAAATCCGACACAATCCTCATTTACAAGCAATAAAGTATGTGTATAAATATTGTTCACGTACGGTTTATAACCGCTTCTGTAGTCCTGTGTAGTACGAAATGTATAAGATGAAATAATAGCAAAACAGCGAAGATAACGAATAAAAGAGATCTGTCATTTCGTACATATACCAATAGGAAATTGAGTCAAAGAAATATTATCTATGTTTTATTGTATTTTATAGAAAATAGTGATTTTGTAGCAAATAAAGCAAAGATTTTTGCAGAAAACCTACAGACTTCAATACAGAGATTTTCGTTATAAAATTACAAACGTAGATTACTTACTTGTTTGTCCATGATGTGCTAGCGTTTGTTTTTAACAAAAAATCATAAACAACCTTTATATTCCAAAACTCATCGTGCTGAGTCACTAAAGTCGAGCGCACCCTACAGGAGGTGTACTTGAATTGGTCCATATTTTTATTTGTTTTAACCAATATCTTTATTGATAAACTTGTTTAAAGAAAACCATTGCTAGCACGACATGTAATAATCCTCTATATAACACGCACCGAATTGTCAAATATAAGAGCCTGAGGACAAGGTGAACGACTGTGGATTTCTATAAAATGTCCATATGTTTAGCATTGAAACAACAAAAGGGTACACAATCCTTAACTTTATTTATTTTGTAATTCACGCCTGGGTAGTTCTAATGATTCAAATATCGAGTGCTAAAATTTATACAAGTATACAGATTGACACGAAAATCACGTGATTGTTAAATGTGTGTAAATGTTAGCTTCTGGTGTCGTCCATGTAATGTGTTTATAATTGTATTATAGGTACTGTAAATATATATCGTAGATACATCACTTTAAGGGCAATAAATGTGATTAAGACAGAATTTTGACATACAAGAAGCAAGTATGTAAACATAATACATGCAGATACGTCAACGTATCAGATACGGATACGATACGTCTTTAAATGTCCCACTTCTATTAATAGAGCATTTGCATTATTCACGTATTTGCTGGCGTATCCGTATCGACGTATCGTATAACACGTATATGAGGAAAGGATAAATTAAGTCAAGTTGGTCCCGATGAAGATATTTTATAATGCATTTAATTTTAATTTAGTTTTAATTGAGGTCGGGGCTAGATCATTATTTCATACAAATCTGCCCGATACGTATAAGTCGATCCGTGCACGTATCCAGATACGTGAATAATGAAAATGCTCTATTAATAGAAGGTAAACACGGCTTTGAAAACTGACCAATCGAACTGAACTACAATGCATTGTGGGCTGCTACGATTTTACTACCACTGAAAACACGTGGAATTAGTGGGAAAACTGTCAACTTATAAACTTATAAAGTGTCTGGGACTCTCATGATAAATATTTTTGTTACGCCAATGTATTAAATGTAAAATATATAACATAATCTTCAATTTGCATGCTCAGATTAAAATAATATTGATTACTGGATACACGATTAGGCTTTCTTTTTCGCCTTATAAAAGTAGTTGAACAGGTTTTGTTCATTGTTTTGCATTATACCTGTGCATTAACTTTACGTGAACTAATGAAATTTCCAATGAAGTGACCAATGTCCAGTATAAAAATCATTTGAGCTCTTTGAAACCGGTCAAAACGGTTTGAAAGAATGGGTTACACGCCTCCCTATATATATGCTCTTGGATTTTTTTGTATCCTGTATAAT